CAACCACTGTTTACCACAGCGGGCGATGTTGTCTGGTGTAGGAGTTGGCTGAAAGAATGTTAGTGATTGCCAAACAACGTTGTGGGATCAGTCCATGAAGTCATTGATAATTGGATGTAGCCACAATAATACGTGTAGACTATCTGGTAGGTCTTATGATTATTGTGACCAATGATAAGAGACTTTGAATGACATGGCTCAATAATTGTATGCTATAGCATCCATTTTTTGTCTTCTCTCGAATTCTGAGCTTCAGAATTCCTTATGACTTTTGTTTTTTCACTAAATTATTTTTTTTATGGAATCTTCTATTCCTATACTTTTCTATCACCACTCGTACTGTTAATAACTTTACTATTCTGATATTTGGCCTGACAGTTTCATTTCTGTGTTGATGAGACATCTTGAACCTGTGTACATACGTACCAGGTCCTACATTGTGACTGACTTTTATTTAAGATGTAGGTGATACTAAATTCTCTTGATTTGAATCAATGTCTAATTGCAAATTTATATCAATATAACTTAATGGTTCATTTTTTGTGTTCGAGGATCTCACAATAAATACGATCAGAGGTTGGAGACGTTGAATGATGTAGTTCAAACTCTGTCACGATAACACGAATACGTTCACTATTTTTATTTCATTGGGTTTTGAGTTTGAATATTATCTTTTATTCCTTGCATTCATTCAATCCCCTCGAAACAGATTGTCTATATTTAATACTTTCCACTGTCGGTATTGTTACTGCTTCTACTACTGTAATAATATATCTTGGTAATTTCAACTCATCATGCTAATTTATTGTGAAAACTTGAACTGATACACAAATAAACCTGGTTCTACGTTGCTTCGATTAACTGATGAGGTGTAAACATCTTCACACTTGGTAACTGAGTTACAATGAATCGTCACAAAGCTTCGAACTATAGAACTATCAAAGTCTACACAGGATGATTGTTCTTTAATTTTGTGTGTATAATTTCTGCTTGATATGTTAATACATTAATTTTTCGGCGTAATAACTCTATCATTATTTTTGGGATTGTTATATTCTTCGTTTACCACAGTTATCTACTACGTCGGGCTCACCAAATAATTGTGGTGAACGAAGAATATAACAATTCCGAAAATAATGATAAAGTCATTACGCCTAAAAATTAATGTGTTAACATATCAAGCATAAATTATACACACAAGGAAATTATACATGACGTTACTTAAACTGTCAGGAATTGGCGTGTTCGAGTTTCTTTTGGTTTAGTAATCCACAATTATAAGTAGTTAATAATTCCAATCACAATTGTTATAGTCCGTCCAAGGTGTATATCCGGATAAGGCATATAATGAGAATATCACTGTGATCTGTAAACATAGATAGCAAATATATTAGGGTTCTGTTATCATAACAGCAGATAATTGAAAACAAGGAGCACATATGTACAGCAGTGTATTTGTGAGTGATAATGAGTGTGTCATTCTATAGGGAATTCAAAATGCAAACGGAAAACCCAATGTCATGTGTTTTTAAACAACTATTTTGCAGTCAATCGTAGTAATTGTACCAATTATGAGAAGTGATGAAAGAAATGCGAATAGTAGCAAAAGCTAGTTACGAAATAAGTCTCTTCTAACTATCTCCACAAATAACTCAGGGGTTTCATTCAAAGTTATGTGTCACTACGTCATCATATTGATAGAGAAGATTTGCAAAACAAGCAAAGATTGATGATGATTGGCAGCGGAATCCAGGACGCGTGTTGCATCCTACTTAGGACTCGTCAGTTGGGTGTTCCTGGAGTTGATGTTCACTTCAGTGGGAAGTAGTAGTAATGACTCATTTTCTCAATTAAATAATAAAGTGTACGAAATTGTTATCACTTAAAAATAAAAAAAATAAGACAACGAATAACCCTTTTTGAACGTACAAACTTGTATATTCAGTTTCAAACCATACTTTAAGTGTGATTTCTAGCGATATTATCTTGCAAATCATACTAAATTTGTTTAATAGAGCTGGGTTTTGAACCTGCTACTTTGTGGTTGAAAGTTGAATGTCTTGGTCGTTAATTAACAATTCCATTTGGTGAATGAATACGATTGTTGTTGATCGCGAGTGATGTCACTTATTTAATACGACTTTTTTTATGTAAATCCACGTAAATGAAAAATGTACAATCTTCCTGATCCCATAATCTAATCAATCACTTCTAGCCACTTACCAAGCTTCCTAAGTTTATGTCTTCTTATTTCTATCACTATTCGAATGATATTTCTGGTCTTCCATATTGTGCTGGCATTTCATATACTTATATGTGTTGTTATTCTGGTTGTCAAAAGGCTTCTGAATAAAAACGGCTTTCACGATGAAGTGTCATAACTCTTCAGTATCAAGATACTTCAAGTCCCTGGGCAAAGTTTAAGTAGTTCAAACATCTAAAACTGAACTATCGACTTAAGCGCCCAAATGATTTGATTATCGAAAACTACTCACTGACTAGAGGATTAGATTTCTATGTAATCAAACAATGTACTTCTTGTACAAAATTTTAAGCATAAAAATACACACAATAAAATATCGTAGACGATTGAAAAGGAAATTGGTTCTGTGCATCACTTACTGTCTAATCATTTAAGACAGTTGTTAATCCTAGTCCTTTTGAACATTTGTATCGATAACTCTACACAATACACTTTAAAAATTATCTTAAGGTATATGTCATTTCATAATTATTGAATTCCATCCCATTGTCTCTTTCTGTATATATATATACAGAGAGAGAAATTCAGACAAGTTATTCTAACTGTAAACAATTTGCTATAAACATTGACATATTCTTGAAGTAAACGTATCAATAAGAATGTCTTATGTAGTTGTCGTTGTTGTGCAATTTACACAAGGGATATAATTTGTTTAGCTGCACACCATGTGTCTATATTTCGTTTAATATTCCTAGTGAAAATGCAAAGTCTTACAAGGGATTTTTAATTTTATTCGAAAAGAATTTTACACACATGTTTTAATGCCAATTTACTCTATCTGTTGTAGTTCAAAATGTATATCTATCTTCTATCTGTTGATCAGTTGAAAACTAATACTATATGACTAACTAATCTGTTATTATTTATGGAATAGTGAAACATAACCGTTCAATTATTATTTATAAGGGTGTTTAAATTATCCCGTTGTTACTATTTAGAACGGAATTTTGATCAGCAGTTGTTGGTATATGTGTATCGTATATAAATTATCGAGATAATAGCCATTTTAATCATGCCTTTTAGGATGAAATATGCATTTTTGATTCCATTGTTAACTATATTCAATCTACTCTATCAAACATTTGAGACAATGGGTATTTCGAGAAAAAACCCCACAAGATGAAATACAAGTGAACAAAGACTTATCAAAATTCAGTTTTAATTATGAACAACGAGATAACTCAAACTCATACTAGTTATTGTCTATATGGATATATTAGTTAGAAGTGTATAGCACTTTGACTTTTGTAATGGGACATCCTGTGTTCGAGTCTCATAGTGGGCATCAACAACAGGATACATATATATACACCTTATGCATCCCAAACAAAAAAAAGCACACGTACCAGCTTTCACTGCTAACTTGATGCTGTGGATACCACACATTGTTTGTTAGTACTTGATTATTTTCTATGTATCAAACACTTGTACAATGACTAATTCGGATTTTTAGTCCACAAATCTGATATCACTTCTTAAAGTTCTTGATTACAAAGCCGAGCTTTGCTGTGGGAGTAAACGAATTGTACTCTACCATAACAAGGAAATCATAACAGAAAAATGGTCCAGAGTCGTTTTTATTGGCAGTAAATTGGGCTCGGATACATTCATTATTAATCTTCCGATAAATCTTCACTTCGTTTCATCCAAAATTCTATTTCCTATTCAGATACGTCGTTTCCTATTCCCACCTTTTCATTATATTCCTCTTTTAGTCTTGTTGCTTAGTGTAAGATAAAATTGGCAAATGCAATATTTTCCTATGGTTCTTGTGCCTACCTGTTTAACTTATTAAAACACAACTACTTTCAAAGTCTTACACTATTCGTTCCATAGTGTTATTTTCCATGATTATTTCAGTGAAAACGAATATTATTATTATCATTCAACATCTATATGCAAGCTCATCATTGATCACTTGGTAGTGGACCAATGTCTTGTTTGTTTTGTCTTTTTAGTGCTGATCGAATCCTATCGACAGAGTTGCCACTTGTCTCTATGACTCGGCATCACGTGCACTATAATATAGTGTCAGATAATTGGAGGTAGTCGCCAGGAAACACTAGACTTAGGTTTCATGCCATTACACTATCGTCACCAAGGCAAACGTTTTAAGGTATACCTTGCTGACTGACGATAGGTTCATACACCACCCATTTCCCTAGGATCGTGGGACTCATATAGCCAATTGGTTTGGAGTTGTTGTTTTGCAACTCCCGTAGTTGGACCCTCCGTACCCGCAAACCCGCTTAAAGATCCGAATACTCGCTTTTGGTCCTCTCAATTTCGTAAACAACACACCATCTACGAGAATGCAGTGAGTAAGAATTCTCTGATAGAGTGGCTGTATACGCGTGGTCATGTGAGAGTAATTTGAAAGAGGGAGCAGACTCTCCTCACTCTCGACCCTACCAAAGATTGATCACATTATGAGACATTTCTTGAATACCCTTGAAACTGAACTATGAATTATTTTTAAACATGGATTTCAATATAACCAAGGTAATTATGATTATAGTGTGGGAAGTCAGTTCATTCTTTTCACTCATATTTTGTGCTTTAAATTTGTGTGTCAATCATTTAAGATAAATTCAGTCATCAAGAAAAAAAAAGAATTCTTAATATTCAATAGTTCTACAATTTTTTTATCGATCTTATTATGCATTCTGCATAATCATTGATTGAATATAATATTTAGAATTTATGTGTAATATTAGTTACTTTTTTGTTATTGTAGTTGGCTACAAAATTTCCAATCAGAATTAAATCGTCTCGATGCAATTATTCAACGTTGTCTTCGTCGTATGTGTCGTGTCACTACAACTGGCACATTAATATCTCAATTAAATGAAGCTGGTCCCACCTATGCTCGGTAAGTACTCGTGTGACTTCATGTGTACTGGAGATATTTATTTATAAAATTTTCTCTGTAAACAAACTTTTGGAAAAGTATGGGATTACTCGATACTTGGTTGTCCCCATATTTAAGTGTTTGGGATAGTGTGCTGCCCACCTCAGTACTTCTCAGTTGTAATCGAATCCTTGATCTTTAAAACTTTGTCATCAGTACGATTTATACCTACCATAATCGCTATCTAATGTAGCTTGTGCACGCAAACACTCCATAATTGATATAATTGGTCACATCTTTCTCCTTGTATATCTTCTGGTAGAATGAGCCGTCAATACATTAGAATCCATGCACTCGAGCGAAGACTTATATTCTCTACAATGCCTTGTGTAGTAAATATACACTGACGCACAGGATGTTAGAGCTGACCTATTCAGTAAATTGTATTCCTAGCTTACTCCTGTTACCCCCAATAGAGCATAGGCCGTTGACCATCATTCTCCAACCCACTCTTTTCTGGACCTTCCTTTTTAGTTCTATCCAATTGTTGTTCATCCTTCTCATATTTGTCTACATTTCTCGGCGTAATGTGTTCTTTGTTCTTCCTCTTTTCCTTTGACCTTGAGGATTCCAAGTAAGAGCTTGCCTTGTGGTGCAGTTTGATAGTTTGTGCAATGTATGTTCTATCCACATTCATTGTCTTTCCCTAATTTCCTCTTCATTTGGAAACTGATTTGTTCTCTCTCATGGTAGGTTTTTGTTAATGGTATCTGGTCAACGGACATTGAGTATCTTGTGTAGACAATTGTTTATAAATAATTGTACGTTTCTGATGATGGTTGTAGTAGTTGTTGAAGTTTCAGCTCCATTCAATTAGATTGTTTGGACGTTCATATTGAAGATTGTGACTTTGATATTAATATTAGTTGGTTGACAGTTGTTTTGATTTCCATATATTCTTCAACTATATTTGTGTTAACTCCTGTTTTTTCCTTGTATGACCTAGTTTAATATGTTTGTGTATGTGTGTATGTGTGTGTATGTATGTGTGTATGTATGTATGTATATATGTATGTGCAATTTTTTCTCCAAGTTTCACTTTACATATCAGCTGATTTTCTACTGTTATGATTCACGTTATAAATAAATCATCATTAGTGCCGTATGTTTTATTTGTCTGTTATTTTGTCTTTCAAAAAACAACAATAAAAATAAATTTATGTTACTGTTAATGAAAATTCTATCGAAGTACACATGATGTGTAGGATATACTGTATATATGTGAATGCATGTTAACAGATTGGTCATATGACTGAAATTCTCTTTTTGTGTGGTCATCGATCATAACTATTTAGTTTATTCTATTAAAGTGTATTAAAGTGTAGCATATATTTTACACGATGTATTGTATATTGGTTGAATAAATGACAATGTATTTGTCGTTGCTACCTTGACGTGGTGGTCAGGCTTGCCTATCGTGATGAAGCAACCGAGCTACACTAGCTGGAACAAACGTTCCTCAAGGTCCTACCATGTCAGACAGGTCGGTTGAAGAGCGGTAAGACTAAAAACAAAAAATCCAAGGTCCGAAGGCGAAGTCGTACTGCTGACTGTACAGAGGGGTGACAACAGTAAGGTGTTTCCTTCAGACAACCAGCATGACAGCGATGCTGTCTTCCCACAAAGAGGGGTGGGATTAGAAAAGGTCGATCCTAAAAATGCACACCTCGCTTTATTCCACGGATATCCGTCTCCTGCGATAAGGTCTCAAGAAGTACGGAGCTAACACAAAAATTACCCATAACAAGGTGGTGTGTGACCGACCTCAAGCAGTTGTCCCTTGGGCACTGCGGTCACGCTCTCAGGTCACTAAAACCACCTCTAATCCGATTTCCTTTTCAGGTACCTCCAGAAGAACCCTTTCACGGTGTGGGCAACCGGGAAGTGATAATCGTCTTAATACCTTTAACAGCACTCAAGACCACTGAAACAACATCCATACAAGTATCCTATATAAGATAATATAGTTGATTTCAATTGGAAAAAAAATTACTCCATAAAGGATTGAGTACTTACAAAGAGATACTTAACGGCTAAAGCCCCTTGCATATATGGATAAATCTCAAATAGTGTTAATAGATGAGATGGAATACAATTCATTGTACTATGGCAACTAATTAAGTGGACCTGATTTCTTTATATCATTTTTATCTAAACAACAACCGTTACTTTTAACGGGTCTAATCAGTTGGTTTATTTGATGAATTTGATGAACAATGAATTTCATCAACAGAATCACACAAGGGTTCATAATTTTTTTTAAAAAAAACTTGATTTTATACATGCTGTGACATCGTTAACTCATATCATTTATAAAGATTTTCCGTATTCAACAAAATATTGACCGATCACAAGTGATATTATGGTCAGTGAAATTATTTTGCTCTCACCTCAGATCCACTGACACACATATACAATTTGTTATCTTGAAACACCACATCTCTTGTAAGCACTATAGAAAATTCTTACTTTTAACCTTCTTAGATGTCCTATTTAGTATACAGTTAACTGGAGAACTATTTACCTACTTATATTCCATAATTTTGATGTTTAATTATATTTCTTTGAAAAAGCTTCAACCAGACTGCCGAGTGAAACGTTGGATTTATTTAAAATTCAATAGCTGAGATTTTTACAAAATATAATTTCTCCTCCTTAATATCTTGTATGGGATCAGATATTTTGGTCTGTGAACGGCCACTAAAAATGAAGTTTGTGTACTCTATTCATTGACTTTCCCATTAATATATTTGTAAAGAAAAGTAACTTCACAGTTATAACATTTCAATTGTTGATGGAAGCTGTAGTTAAGTAATCGCTCAATTGTAGTTAGGAGTAGGGTATCATTCAATCTTCGAGCCGTAGATTGTGTTTAATGTTCAAACTAGTGAACAATTTATTCAAACTCGGCTCTACTTATTGATATTATGTATGTATTTAGTCTGTAGTTTATAAACGTGTATATGTAGGTGCTGCATGACTTTTCGCTCTTCATTATATAAGTGAATAGACTGCACTATTTTTTCCCAGAGTTTTATTAGTTGATTACGCCTTTATGTCTTTTTTAGACAGAAACGATACGTTAGTGTTCGAAGCACACGACTTGCAAACACTAGATCAAAAGTTCAAATAGCACTTCACTTACTTTTGGGTTTAAACAGCCTATTGATATCATTAATCCTCACATAAATAGTGTAACTCGAAGCCAAGTTCGTAAAATCATATTTGGTAGGTGTACGGAACTGCTTTTAGATAAGTTAAACCCATTACTATCATGTAAGATAGTTGCTAAATATTTGTCTGTGGATATAACGAATCTAAACGTTAGTATACTTAGGTTTTAACATTTGAATTTATGGACTGTATCTAAATCTGTTGTAACGACTACTTACTCTAAGAATGTATTGATTGGGTAATAATTATTTAATGGATTAAATATCTAAATAAATTTACTGCTAATTAGTCTCTTAAAAAGTTTATGCTGATCTTAAAAAGTCAACTACTATAAGCTCTAAATTGCTTACCAATCTTGTGTTTTTGAGTATTAGATGAGATGTACAACAGTGGAATGTAAAAAATCCTCTCGTTCAACTGTAAAACCTGCTGAGAAAATTCGGTTTATTTTAATAATGCACCTATTTAATTGATTTTATGTTTATTTGTTAAGTTTACTTCTGATTTCCTCCTCTTTTGTTGCTTTCTTCTTTTCTTAATTATCAATAGCTGTTTAGCTGAAATTGTTAGGCGTACGGAATTCGACGATATGCTTACTCAACGATCTGTATGTTATCTTAAAGAGGAAACTAATTTGAGAACTGAAGAATGTCGTCGACGGCGTATATTTTCTAAACATTTAAGTATGTTTTTTAAATGTCAACATATTATTAATACTATATTCTAGTACTTTGAATCATCCATTGATCTGTGAGCACATTGATCCATAACTTGATTATCCCTGTCATACTTACATTTTCTACCATATGTATCGAATAGATTTTTTATGCAATACCCAATTTTAGCTGCTACTTGTTTATGACCTATCAAATATCACGTGACAAGGTTGCCAATCTGAATTCTGACTTCTATGACCTTGTGCCTGTATTCAACCAATGATGTGTCAAAACAGCACTAACAGCCTTAAGTGAACTCATGGTCCTCATTGGTTTTCTGTACAGTAATTCTTCGCCTAGATCAGTCTAGAACACAGATATCAGGGCTCACTAGTATGAATCGTATATTTCAGACATACGTGGTTTATATACAAGCAGACCAAACTTCATAGTGGGAGTATAATTGAATGAAATTTGAAAGACGCTAAAGTGACCTTGATAATGTCCACTTACTAACGAGGATTAAATGAGGTTTATAAACCAATGAGAAGAATTAGAATTTTGATTCACAGTTGATGGTTAGGGTTAGGAATTAGATTTACGGTTTTCATCACAAACTGACATCAGCTAAAATTCAAAACTCTATTTAGTCAAATGGCTGAGTTTCGCGCCAAAAACCCAGGACCTGTTATTTTATATCTGATTGGGTCGTCCATAAGCTATAGTCTCACTGACCGCATCGCACCATAAAATGAAAAATTATAACCATACAAAATCAAGCCAAAAGCGGCCGTGAGTATGGATGATTGTAACTGATAAATCGGGAATAATTTGTGAATGAATTATCAAAGTATTTCAGTGGTAAAAGTAACAATTTCTTTTTGAGATCTAGTTCTATTAACATTGGTCTGATCATAAGGTTGGTGTTAGCGGGATATAGACTGGATTAAAGTATGCTCAATGCAAGATTGCTTTGGCGCACTCTGATTAGGTAATTCTTACCCAATCAGCGTTAGTCAATACTTAGTGACCACTCTAGAAATCTCCTCATGTGAAAAAACCATAAATATACTAACGTTTTCCCTATTGCGCTACTTGTTTCTTACTTCCATCTAACCTTGTTATTTGGAATATAATCTCTCTCCTGTTCAACCGTATTCTGATTTAGGGACTTGTCGAGTAAATCGGTGTCCGAAAATAATAAGCAATAGAAATAGCTGGGTTATAACCGTAAGAGAGAATTATAACAGTTGGATTTTAAGCGCTACTCGTGATTGTGTTACGTAGTAATGGATTCGAATGCTCTTTTTCCAGTCAAATTTATTCTTGTTTCCTAGATCTAATGGTAGTATTTTGTTGGATATTGATCAAGGTATATGCCTAAACCTTTAAATTAACTTATCATTTAGTTAAAAAATCTTAACATTTTTGATACCACTCATCAAACAATTGTACTCATTTAATAATTATTTGAAAAACTTAGATCATATGTAACTTACCCCAGACTCCATATACTGAGACGTATATTGTTAGCTGATGTGAGAGATCGGAAGAAGACTATCCATTGCTAAAGCCAGTTATGGCACCAGTTCATAAAGTCATTTGACTATTAGTCTCAACCATCTTAATACATTCAGACTACTTGGCTAGTTTTTGCGCTATAATCGTGATCAGTGATTTGATGAAACTATGAGTGACACGATTCAGAATCTCGGTCGTAATAGCGTTCTACATTCACTCTTCGTCTACCGCTGAGACGAAATATTTTTTTCACCTTTTCACTCTTTTCTCTCAAACTATGTATCCTATTTTACTATCACTTCAATTTTTCCTATAACCATCATAATTTCATGTGATATAATAACTTAAACTAATACACATTAATGCCATGTTGTGACGTTGTTTTTATCTGATTTAGTCATTAAGTTATATGCATTGTAGACTCCCAATACTTATTCAAACACATTAACATTGACACTTGTGGGCATGCATCAGAAATATATGCATGGTGGTTTTCTTAAGGAGCCACTCCCTGAGTATTTCACCTAGAAGTCTAATCGACAAGTCAGTGGAGCAATGTTGGGAGATGTAGTCTCATGGTAGTCGGTGACCAACAATAGGTTCGTACACCATTCTTTTTTCAAGATCGTGGATTCCATGTTCACAATTGGTTTGGAATTGTGGTTTGGTAACTCCCCTAGTTGGTTTCTTTGGGCATTCCCTTTTGGTCCTCTCAATTTCATAAATAACACCCCATTCACGAAAACGTAGTGAGTATGACTTCCTTGATAGAGTGGCTGTATATTCGTTATTATGTGAGAGGGAGACCAGACTCTACCAACTCTCAGCCGTACTAGGCCATTTTGAGGTACATGTACTAATAGTCTTAATTGTAAGAAGAAAATTAGGCATCGAATTTACAATTCGGGAAAAAATATAAACTTGTGAAATGAAAAGAGATTATGATGAATTTAGAAACTTGCGATTTTATGAAAGGTAAAAAGTGAATGGCACATGCATCATTGCGAATGATTTGGATCTATGTCATTCAAAGTCTCTGACCACTAGTTACGATAATCTCGTAAACCACAACCAATCAGTCTACGCCTACCTACATGGTTCATTCCCATGGTCACTTTTTTCATAGATTCGTATCATGTCTCGGTTTGTGCGTCATTCGCCTTCTACCAACATGCTCCTCCATCAACTATCGTCCCTTGTCGAGTTATGATTAATTGGTTTTTGAACATTATTAAAGTACCTAGTAACAAATCGTATTTCATTTTAAAGCATAATGTTTTTCTTCCATCCTTAGAAAATAATGTTCTACATTCACTCTTTTCACCATGGACTAATTCAAAAGCGGAATGTCTCGGGGTAAATGATCACTTGCTTTATTGTTTCATTCGTTTCTCCAGTATATTGCGGTTTTCATGTATTGTTATGTTTTAACTGTGAATCGAACTTTGTTTGTTTAAGTGTTTATGTGTTTATGTATATGTTCGAAAGCTCTCAATTTTATTTACTCGACTAAAGTGAAGTACACATCATATCTCAAAGTTCACATCTGATCTGATCAGTAGTATTGTTCATAAATCATAGAATTTTTAGCAAATAAATTGTTAATCAATGCATTTTAAGAATTCATGCAGTACTGTTGTTTTGCCTTGATAAAATTGACTTTAGAATGTTCAAAGTTGGTAATGGAATTAACACTTCAAAATATACGTTATGTTAGCTTACAAAAGAGATATATTTGTATGTTCATTTGATATATTTATTATATGCTTGATTTAGTGACTGCTCTTAAATTCGATAATGAAGTTACTATTCGTTACTTTTGACATTCGAATTCTTATCTACTTGTTGTAATCAGTTGTTATACAATAGCTATTTGATTACCATTACCTTAATGGTCTGATTTTGTTTAGATTGTTTTAAAATGTAGAAAGTATTGATCATGGATCTCTTTCACTTGAGGTACTATTAGTCAATACACTAGGAACTTCAAAATGAATAACATTTGATGGTTGTCACTCAATGTCACATATTGATTAGAGTTGAGTTTGTTCACCTGGACGCGAATGGTGAAGCTCCTTTTTTGCTTAACTAGAAGGTTATGTATTTGATTTCTAGTAGTGTCATGCAATGCAAATTGCTATGGAGTCCCATATTTCTAGTTCTCCCTGATTTTCAGCTATACTTTAACTGAGGCCAACTCGTGATGAATACCGTCTGCAGAATAATATAATTTGTTTTTTTAGACCTACATAATCGATTCTTGTTTATTTTGACGTTTATCACGTAACTTCACTTTATCTATTATTCTTATCATTATTTGTTCATGTGTATAGCTTACCAATATACCAGGAACAATTTCTATGTCACAAGATGTAGTTGAACAGCAATTGTGTGAAACATCTACTACCACCACCACTATGACTACTACTACATCTAATCAAAAAGTCGATTCACTTTCACATTGTCCTCAAACAAATGCAGCAGAATTTACAGTGAATCGACGATATGCCTTATCTTCTTTATCTGAACCACGTTTAAATGAATTAGCCAAAGCTTGTGCATTGAATCGTGTACAACATTCGCGTGTTCGTTCAACTCGATTAAATTCACTCAGTTCACCAGATCCTCAGTTGACTAAAGTTAAAGAAGATGAAGTGATTGAATCGGATCAAAGTAAAAAACGTTCAAATTATAATTGTCCTATACAACACCAACCAGTTCTATTACGTCCACCGCATACTAAAGTAATGCTTGATGCTAATCGTCGTGCTTCAATGCCATTTGATGAATCTGATCGAGGTGAATTATCCAGTCTACCAAATTGGTCAGTTGATTCGTCATCATTATTAGGTATATTATCGAATAATTTCTATCAAACTGATCATCATAATCTATCGAATATAACACAATCAGTTAAAATTACTCGTGATGATTTAGAAAGGTTAATGCAATCTATGCCTACTAATATATCTAATTTATTAAGGATGGAATTGAATAAATCGTTTTCACTATTTAAAAATACTTCTTTTCTACCTAATACATCATTGACCAATCCGAGTGGGAGTGTTTCTTTAGATCAAACATCCAATATTATTAACAGTACCGGTTTTTATCTGTAGTAATAGTAGTAGTCCATTATCAAATTTAAAATCAACTATCATGACGCCAACAACAACTGCCAAAACATCCATATCTACAATGATAACTAGTACACAAATTAATATGCCTGAAACAAAATCTATTACAACCTCTCCATTTAGTAGTTTAGAGAATATATCAACAAGAGATTTTATGAATGTTGGTTGTCAAGCTGAATTCGGTTTAATTGGACCAATTCTAAATGTTGGATCTGGTCGAAGCTTGAATTCTAGCCTTGGATTATCTGTTGATGAGTAAGCTTTTTACCTTATTTTGTTTTTTAAAACAATTAGTCCCTTTGATAAATTTCGATAATGATATTAGAAGACGAAGATTATCAGAACTATGTGATATATTAGCGCAATACATTTCGAACAATCTGGTCACACATATACTTGTTAAGAGCATTTATATATAAAAATAAAAGGTCAACTAGACAGGAAACGGGGTAAGAGGAGATAAGGATAATGATAAGAGTAATAATAATAATAATAATGTGAACACAAAGCGAAACCTAATCACTCTGGATAATAAGTCAATATTACCAGGGTAGGTTTAAGGTAAGAACAAACTGTTTTTGAACACATAAAGGGGGTTTAAATTTTCGTATGGCTAAGGCTTCAATGAACCTTAGTATACGCCCTTTTACACTTTTATACAGCACTACAAAAGCTGAATTTAGATCAATCTTGTGACCTGTTTCAATTATATGTTTAGCAATAGAGGATGATGGATGTTTATCCTCTGCTCTTATTGGGTCACTTGATTGTATTTGATTCTGAAGCCATTTGGGTACATGTTCACTCACCCTAATGTTGAGATCACGATTACTCCTCCCTATGTATGTGTGACCACACACACATTTAAATTGGTAAACACAGTGGGATGTGACGCAATCGTTTCCATGTACTTTAGGTTTTGAATGAAGCATGCACCTTGTTCTTTCTTTGATGATGACCTTTGCTGCGCAATAGGTTTTATTGATGACTGATTTAAGTCGTTGTTTGAGTAAAAGGCTATTTGAATCACCTCTGAATGGTAAGGTGATGTAGACAGGCTTTTTCTCTACCGAGGCTACAGTAGGTCTCGCTGAACCATGGACTTTCCATCTATTTATGAATTTCAGAGGATAGCCATTTTCTATTAACGTTTTATTTAACAACTTAACATCATCATCAATGGCGTCATTGGTACAAATACGGTCGAGTCTGTTGAAAAGACACCTTATCAAACCACGTTTGTATTGCACAGGGCAATAACTATAATAACTAAGATATTGACCTGTCCACGTTGGTTTTCTAAAAATAGATCGCTTTACTGAACCATCTTCTCGTCTACTCAGGAGTATATCTAGGAAGGGAAGCTGATCGTTTTTCTCACAAACAACTAAGATATGTGGACGATATCTTAGTTGTTTGTGAGAAAAAAGAGGATATGTACGGTTTATTAAATAAACTCAACACTCTCCAAAACCATATTAGTCTCTCATGTGAAGAGGAGAAAAACGATCAGCTTCCCTTCCTAGATATACTCCTGAGTAGACGAGAAGATGGTTCAGTAAAGCGATCTATTTTTAGAAAACCAACGTGGACAGGTCAATATCTTAGTTATTATAGTTATTGCCCTGTGCAATACAAACGTGGTTTGATAAGGTGTCTTTTCAACAGACTCGACCGTATTTGTACCAATGACGCCATTGATGATGATGTTAAGTTGTTAAATAAAACGTTAATAGAAAATGGCTATCCTCTGAAATTCATAAATAGATGGAAAGTCCATGGTTCAGCGAGACCTACTGTAGCCTCGGTAGAGAAAAAGCCTGTCTACATCACCTTACCATTCAGAGGTGATTCAAATAGCCTTTTACTCAAACAACGACTTAAATCAGTCATCAATAAAACCTATTGCGCAGCAAAGGTCATCATCAAAGAAAGAACAAGGTGCATGCTTCATTCAAAACCTAAAGTACATGGAAACGATTGCGTCACATCCCACTGTGTTTACCAATTTAAATGTGTGTGTGGTCACACATACATAGGGAGGAGTAATCGTGATCTCAACATTAGGGTGAGTGAACATGTACCCAAATGGCTTCAGAAACAAATACAATCAAGTGACCCAATAAGAGCAGAGGATAAACATCCATCATCCTCTATTGCTAAACATATAATTGAAACAGGTCACAAGATTGATCTAAATTCAGCTTTTGTAGTGCTGTATAAAAGTGTAAAAGGGCGTATACTAAGGTTCATTGAAGCCTTAGCCATACGAAAATTCAAACCCCCTTTATGTGTTCAAAAACAGTTTGTTCTTACCTTAAACCTACCCTGGTAATATTGACTTATTATCCAGAGTGATTAGGTTTCGCTTTGTGTTCACATTATTATTATTATTATTACTCTTATCATTATCCTTATCTCCTCTTACCCCGTTTCCTGTCTAGTTGACCTTTTATTTTTATATATAAATGCTCTTAACAAGTATATGTGTGACCAGATTGTTCGAAATGTATTGCGCTAATATATCACATAGTTCTGATAATCTTCGTCTTCTAATATCATTATCGAAATTTATTTTGTTTTGTTATTCAGACTCATCTGAATTTTACCAACTAATTTATTATGTATACATACCTATTATTATTATTATTATTATTATTATTATTATTATTATTATTATTATTATTATTATTATTAAATAAACTTTACCCTTTTCGAAGATACAGTAAATAGTCCTTTCTTTATAAGCGAAGATGGATGGTGGCCAGCAGTCGAATCTAGAACGCGCGTTTGGTCCTATTTGGGACTGCTCTATTCAATGCTTATAATGCCTGTGACCTAAAGCAATATCGAGGCAATCCGCATAGGATGCACATATGTCAATAAGAGACTGATCAATTGTATTCCTAAATATCAATGGAAAGATTCAAACAAACAATACAAAAAAGAATTTAGTCCTTTCTTTATGTAATGAAAATTTCTTCAAAAGTATAAACGTTAACTAAATTACACAATATTAATTTATCTGTTGACCAATATCACAATTAGATAGATATAATGAGATAATTTATAATTGTCATTTCTACTTTGTTTTGTCTGGGTTTTTTTTGATAAGAACAATTGATTCAATGAAACAAAAGGACATATTCTTTCATTGGTTCAATCATTTATAAATCATCGTAGAGATGAGTATATATTTGTATTCATTCATGTTCCCATACCACATCAGTGGAATACTGCGATGAAATTAACAAGATGAATGATAAAGAAATCAAAACAATAATAATGATTACTAATGTTTATATTCATTATTTTACTTTTAGTAAAATATAGGATTCTCAGCACAAAGTATTTCAACAAGTTTCCTTTCTTCTTATTTCTTGAACGATCCTGACGATAAATATTAAGCGATCGCCAGTTAGATGTAACAGTTAAGGAATCAACGTCTGAATAATGTTCATTCTTTCCAATGCATATTGCCAGCCATCGCGGCGTCTCTAATTGTACTGTTTTTGTAACTTGTACAGAAAAAGGTCGTACACTTTTCATAAACGCACCTGAATAAGTTATGCGATTAATAGACATAATAATGTATCAAACAAAAACAGATTTATTGAAATATTTGGATGACAGGAACAGGTAGCCCAGATATTCAAGAAGGTCGCCAATAATATTGTTAATGAGAAAGATTAACTAATGAAAATATTCTTTGAAAAGACTGGAAGAAAAGATATGTAGGAAGGAACATTAGTCTAAAGTAAGATAAGGAAGTGGATGCATTCACTATCCAATCTAATTGATTCTGAACCATTTCACCAAATATCTCTAATCATTAGTTATGATGATCTCGCAAACCCTAATCAGGTAGTCTACACCTGTTGTTTGCTTTGGAGCGTTCATTTAATATCTCTGATAATTTGTCTGTCATCATCGGAAAATTAATCCAAACTATATTGGTCAAGTATATTTTATACGTAAATGATCATATCACCATTATTGTTATAATTATAATCATAATCATTAAGCTGTAAGCTGTAGTATTTATATTGAGAGTTTAGTTCCATCACTTTCATTTAAATTTACATATCGGAAATTGTTGGGCGATTCGGAGTATTCCTTGAAAAAAGGCTAATGGGGTCCTGAAAACACTGGGAAACGTTTCATCCAATCAACGTTCAATAGAAGTTCCTCAGAAACATCTAGAAAGTGAAGAGTCACGGGTTACATTTCAGATTGGATGATTACCTACCATGTCGCTATGTTTGGTCGGGTCCCAGGACCTCCCAGAAGCCCAAAGCCATCTGAAACGCTATAAATTCCCTCAATTTTCTGTACTGAAAGTAACAGAGTAAAGCCTGGGGTTACTAGAACAGCTCATAAAACCGATTCAAGCGTTCAGTCAGAAGATTATTAAAAATACTGTCTATCAGTAATATCTTTAATTGCTGTTCATTCGATTGTAGTCATTCAAAACACTTCAGTTCGAATTAAATTTTAAATAATTCAGATTATCACATTGTTGATGTTTTTTATTGAAATCCTATCAATCTTGATTGGGATAGTAGCGTCCTGTGTGAATTTCCTCGATATAGCGATTATGTCATATGTTGATATAGATTAGATGGAATTTGGCTAGCAATGGAATCCAGAGACGTGTTTCATTATGTTTGGGAATCATCACCTGGATGTACATACATCCCTAAATTGATGTTCACTATGAGACTTGCGATGTCACTTGAAGCAAATGGTACTGGGTTCGAGTCCCTGTGTGAATACCAACTCTGGAATGCAGGTACATTTATATGAAGAGTCTCAAATAGGATGAAATGCGTTCCGGTAACCATATTCTATCTATTCTATATTTCAGTTTTAACTCACCCATACGAAGGAATAATGGTGACAACTAATTTTTTGTTTTAACGTGAATTTTTTAAAATATGAACCAATTAACATGTGATTACACTTTTATTTAACCTCTTTGTGAGAACGTGATTTACCATTCGCTAGTTTTCAACTTCTAATCCAATATTTCCTTTTTTTTCCAGTTCAGTACGTCGTACTACAATTCATACAGTTAATAATATTCATACAGGCTGGGAAGAACTTCCAGGAAGTTTATGTAGTTGGGAATTATGTCGTTTTCCACCTGTGGCAGTACGTTCAGGTGATCGTATGTCAATTTCTTTGAATACATTACCACGTTTTGAACATTTAGTGACTACTGGTACACAAACTGAAGAACAATTGGAATTTACAGAATCTCATAATACATCTTATTCTCCTGTTAAACTTATGAGTACCGAAGAATTATGCTTACAAAATAGTGCAGCACACAGAAAAGTATGTCCTTTCTTTCCAAGAAGTATTATCATCTTCACGTATTAATGTGAATTAGTATCTCACCCTCTCCTTCCACAAATGATTAAACATCAATAGCAACCAGGTCTTTTTATCTACATTTAATACTAAATAACCATATTTAAGCTGTAATTTCTCTATTGTTTTAATGAAAATGAGAAGATTATGGTTTTTGACAAAACACATGTATCAATCTATAGTGTATTTGGTAGTCAGGAAAACTAAATGCGAACAGCGACAGTTGGATATTCATTCTGCGATGAAACTATGAACAACAGTTTCGATCACAATGTTCTATATTGTCACAAACTCAAATAATCGTATAGAGTCTTGGATAGACAAATGTGTATTTATATTCATTTGATTTTGGGAAGGGATTTGCGAGATCTAGGAGAACATGATCTAAGTAATCAACAAAACTAGGAAGTAAACTTTATCGTCTAGTCACCTATCTCCACATAATTCTCTCAGATTATCCATCACCAGATTTAATCAAGAAGTTTCTAATCCATTCTGTTAACATTGTCGATTTTTTAAAATAACGACTAATGCCATACTGTAGATCTGTGATTGATTTATGGACAGTATCAACAATGTAAATTTAGAAACGTTAAACAATACAACAGAGTAAAAAAGAATCCACTGATTTAAAACAATAATAAAAGTTGATTTTGCTCACATCATGAAGTGCATATTATTATTTATTTATTTTCACGGTTGAATTCACTAGTCGATCTAAGCTAGGCCGTCCAGTGCTTCTAGGTTTCTAATGGTTGTTGTGCTTAGGTCGACTCGTGAATTGAACTGATAACAATCATGTTCTCATTAGTGACTACCTTCAAGATAGAACTCCTGGAATTCTACTGAGAAGCCGTGATCAATGGGGTCCGATCCATATCAGGTGTGAGACAGTTGTCCACCTCAAATAATGGCTGAAGTTTTATGCAAGATCATGGATCGATTGAAGTGGTCTCGAGATTAAGCATTGGCGCGTGAGACCGGAGGTCCTGGGTTTCAATCACGCGTATGTGGTCGTGCATGCTCACTGCTAAGGAAGTTTCATATCATAGCGAAATGACCGTCCAAGTTTTCAATAGTAGTCTAGATTAAATTGACTCGTGAATTGAACTGTGAAAATACCACAACCTCCACAAATCCTCATACTGATTTATTCATTATTTAGAGCTAAAAAGCATTAATACTGAAACAAAAAGCACAGGTCAATTGAAATCTTCTCTTAAAAGCTTAATTGTCAGCTATATTCTATCTGTTATGTTAAATTTAACGTTAATTAATTGTGAATAAGTTAGTTTCAGTTTGAATGATTTTTAACGTTAACATTTAAAGCCTATGAAGTTGACTAGTATAGGTTGTTTTTTGTTCGTTTGAAATCTAATTAACAATATCATTTCTTTCAATAATATAATTACATCTTGGATGAAATTTTCGCTAAGGTATAGTTTTCTGATAACTGTGTTCCAATTACATAAATGAGTTATTGGCACCATTCCACATATAATTACAAGGTTGTTCAGTAGATCTTTACTTTATGAGAACTTGTGTGCCGAGTTAATGGTAAACATTAAGGAGGAGAAATTATATTTTTGTAAAAATCTCAGCTATTGAATTTTAAATAAATCCAACGTTTCACTCGGCAGTCTGGTTGAAGCTTTTTCAAAGAAATATAATTAAACATCAAAATTATCGAATATAAGTAGGTAAATAGTTCTCCAGTTAACTGTATACTAAATAGGACATCTAACAAGGTTGAAAGTAAGAATTTTCTGTAGTGCTTAAAAGACACGTGATGTGTAAAGAAAAGTGTGTTCAGCTAACAAATTGTTTATGTTCGTAAATGAAGTGCTTATCAATTTTTTTAAAAGGTTCATTAAATGGTATAGATTTCGAATGACTTGATTATTTTCTGGTCTTTTCTAGTTTTCACTGAATACAAAAAATATACATAGAAGATTCGATAACAGTTTCCTCATCTAAATTTCCAGGAGTTGAACTTTTACCGGGAGATTCACTTTTTGACTTAGAATATGACGATGACATAGTTCTATTTGGTGAAGACGCTGAAAAAATGCAGAGTCTTCTGACCACTCTAAGCAACAATGCAGGCATGTTCGGGATGCGATTCTCCCCCTCGAAATGCAAAATATTGCTTCAGGATTGGATTGCACCGAAACCCGAACTAATGATAAGGAGTGAAGTAATTGAGCGTGTTGATCGCTTCACTTATCTTGGAAGCCTCATCAGCCTTTGTAGTCTGGTGTGTGACGAAATCTCAGTACGGATACAGAAGACTCGGCTAGCTTTTGTCAACTTGCGTCATTTATGGCGTAGGCGAGATATCCCCCTACCAACCATAGGACGTTGTTTACTGCGCATCAGTTTGTTCCCTCCTACTTTATGGCAGTGAAACATGGCCGGTAAGAGTAGAGGATATTCGTAGGTTACTAGTATTTGATTATAGGTGTCCTCGAAACATTGCTCGTTTATCCTGGGACCACCGATTAAGTGATGTAGTTGTTAGGAAAGGGGTACTAGGTAGCCCCCAAATGCCCTGGTATGGCCGAGAGTGGGGTGGGCCCGCCCTCTCGAAATGCTGTCATACGGCTATGCGTATACAGCCTCTGCCAGGTAAGTCCTACTCACTGCCTTCTCGTGGCGAAGGTGTCTTTTACGAAAATGAGAGGACGAAAAGCGAATGCCGGCGCTTTGAACGGATCCCAAAACGAATGGTGCACATGGGCTCTAGTATCTTGCGGGAACAAATGGAGTATGAACCATTCCTTGGTCACCGGTTACCATAGAACTGCATCTTCTCACGATGCTCTAATGCCTTGTGGGTTAGACCTTTAGGTCAAAGGCTCCGGGTGTGGCTTCCCAAGAAAACTACTTGCTTCGGTCTAGGCACCTGGGCAGTATCACAGCCCACACACAAATATGATGGTGTGACTCATATATATTTGGTGCGCTCTCGTACCAATATTTATGTGTTCAAATAATAATAATAATAATAAATATTAGGTAGGGATGGAAAATCAATTGATGAAGCAGTGAAACTTTATCAGTTGAGATGGCTGGGACACGTGTTACGTATGTCTAACCACCGACTGCCTCGACGTGCGATGTTTTATGATGTAGGAGTAGGTTGGAAGAAAGCTAGGGACTGCCAGACTAAAACATGACTCAAATCCATGAAGTCACTGACAAGTGGACTGAGCCATGTTAGTAAGTATAGACTACCTGGTTGGGGTCAACGAGATGATAGCAACCGACGGTTAGAGACCTTGAATGACATGGCTCAAATTCGTTTGCAATGGCGCAAGTGCATCCACTTTCTGTTCTCTCAAATTCTAATCTTCTGGAATCTTCATGTCTCTTTTCTTTCTCTTTCCAAATTTATTTCACTGTATTATAACTCCTTGAATAACATCTTCAAACCCTAATGTTTCGGATTACTGCTTACACTTTTACTACCTCTAATACTACGGGAATTGAATTGACAATTGTATCTGTGTACTAATGTGGTATGGCAACTCGAACTGATGTACGTACGTACGAGGTTCTACGTTGTTACTGACTGACTGACGATGTAAGTATTTAATGGTAGATATCTTCCAGAACATTGGTAACATATGTTGGAATTAGTTAGGGAGCATTACAGTCAGTGGCTAGGCGTCAACCACAAGTTAAGAAGTGCAAGTTAATTATTTAAACCTAACAACCTTTTCTAAACTCATTTGTTTAGAACATGTATTATGTATGCCTGATTACATTATATATATTGACAGGAGTACGTATTTATAATTATTCAGAAGTAGAGGGATCAAGATGTGTTATTGATTCATTAATTTAATAACCGCCTGTTTGCGCCACATCGATAGACTTAGGTTTCTTAGTTGAGGCTTACGAGATGAATTATAAAGTGTTTGTTAGTTCACATCTGATTAATAAGTAGTGATCAATGCCAGTAGTCGACAGGAAACCCCACCCCCAGTTTCTATGTTATTGTTCAACACTGATCTTCATTATCATAAAAAATCATATTTCAAAGGAACATACAAGTATACTACATATTGATCTCAGTGGAACTAATTGTATTTTCATTTTCTGTTTTTTTTAAACTCATTAAAAGAATTCAACTACACATGAGAATGACGACAATATCGTTGATTATCATCATCCTCAAACACTTCAAACACCTACTACTACCACTAGTACTATTGGTAATCAACATTCATCTTCTTCTTCTTCATCATCATCATCGTCACCGCCGTTTACAATTCACAATGATGAAATTAATGAAGATAATATTATTATATCATCAATATTTGCTGAAGATAATTTATTCACTGACTCCGCTTTAATGATGACTTCAAGTTTCCACTCCACAAAAACAACTTTTTCCAATAGTATTAATAATAATAATACTGATATTAGTAATAATAATACATCTTCATTACAAATGCATACACCTTTCATGTCAATGCATAATCAAAGTCGATCAATGTCTTCTAGTAATTTATGTGATTTAACAAATGCTACTGACATTTGTGGTAGCGAAAGTACAACAACACAATATGATTCAATGATATACGATGATGGTAAATTTTGTACATTTTAATTAAAATTCATATTTTCCAATAGAGAATGAATTGTATTGTAATGATATTTAGTTTAATTTGTATACATTATAATGTATACATCATAGGTTTGGTCTTCATTGCTAGAGTGTTAGTGAAAACTAGTAAGTTGTTTTGTCCTTAGTATTTAGAGCTTCTCGGCAATGTCCACTTTACTTACAGCTCCATTAGTAATCGAACCTGAAATTTTCACGTTTTGATCAGTGATTGGTATTAAGTTAACATCCGACTAGTTGACTACTGATTGTTTGATTGTGACCAATCTTTCTTGTACAAATTCATAAATTAGGCTTGTGATTCTAATTGATTGGAATGGTGTGCTCATAGAACTTTCTTCGACAATTTATCAATTTTATGGTAAAGTAGACAAAATGACTTGGTCTCATCTCGCTTTATGGTTGATGATAGATTGTGGTAGATGATGAGTTGGTCATAGTTGATGACTGAAATAATATGAAAAAAGAATTATCTTTTTTTTGAATGACCGATTACTTCATCATATTTTAGTCTGTATTGTGGACTATTCACTAACTTTTAGAATTGCATTCAAGTCTAGATCATTTCATTGTATCATCGAATACTGCTTTTCACGCTTACATTTATATGGGTAGCTTAGTGGTGTATCACTAAAGTTACCCTAGCTGCTATTTCGATGTGGTGGTCGGGATGACATATCGTGATGACAGTAAGGCTAAAGTCAGCAACTTTAAGTTCCGAAATTGAAGTCGTGCTTCTGATTGCACAGATGTCTGAGGGTGATTAGGTGTTCTGAAACAGTCGGCATCTCTAGAGACAATGATTTCACATAAGAGAATGAAGAGGTTAGAAAATATCATCTGTGAAAACAATATACCTCACCCTGCCTCATTAATGTTTGTCACCACTGGTATGGTCTTAATAGTACGGGGTTAGCTCATCTAGAACTTCTCACAAAAAGACCATATGTAATTGACTTTAAGAAGTTGTTTATAGGACCATGCGGCCATTCTTCAGGATCGTCAAGATCCACTCATAATTCAACTTCTTTTTGAGGTAATCCAAACAGTAGTATCCTTTTACACTATGAGCAACTGGAAATCGACAACTGCTGTGATATCTCTAGTAGCAGTCAAGATTATATCTTCTTACTAACCCTCATACATCTACACATTCAATAAATAGTGTAGTACAATGTCATATACTTAAATCTGTATTTTAGTATGATTTCAATCTTTATGAAAATTCCAGTTACTGTTTAATCTGGTTTTTGTTTTAATCAGAAATAACACTTGAATAATACATTTTTAAATATTCATCTTCAGTTTATTCCTATATTTAATAAGTTAATCTGTTTGATATTGTTTTGTTTTTCTTTACAATATACATATTCATACAATACAATGATATACAAGATATGAAAACTTCTCGTGATGTTCTCCTTTTAAAATCATCATCATTACCGGAAGTAAAATTACACAAGTTCATTGAACAACAAAATCAAATTACATCATTTACATTATTAGATCATAATTGTTTCAAATGTCGTTTAAAACGTATTCATCAAGAATATTTTCAATTACTTCAAGAAAGTTTAAAATTAATCAATAATGATTGTCGTGATCATACTGATCATTATCAATTACAACGAAGTACTTCTGAAATTGTAATTGATAATAATAAATCATCAACAACTGAAATAAAACAATCTAAATCAATTTCATTAGATGCAATACAATTAAAATGTCTTTTCAATGTAAGTTTTAGTTCTATCCTTTCATAAATAAATTTTAGATTTGTTAAAATTGATTGTATATATATCTACTACTGGACAACTACGTCTTCTATTTTTTAGATACTCTACAAAAGTTCAACACTAATCATCTCACAAGGGGATCAAACTCATGAACTTTAGTGTTTGTTTTTTTTTTTTTTGCTGGGTGTAGGGTTCATTAACCATACTTTCAACCTTACTAATTTAGCTTCGGTTAGGACCAGCAGTAATTCTTGGAAATGCTCTAGGTGACGTTTCGTGAACTGTAACAGCCGTATAAAAAATTTTACATGTAGATTTAATTAATCGTAGCCAATTTTTAGACTTCATACAATCATCAATGTCTTCAGTCAGTCAGTCAGTCAGTCAGTCAGTCAGTCAGTCAGTCAGTCAGTCAGTCAGTCAGTCAGTCAGTCAGTCAGTCAGTCAGTCAGTCAGTCAGTCAGTCAGTCAGTCAGTCAGTCAGTCAGTCAGTCAGTCAGTAACAACGTAGAACCTCGTACGTACGTACATCAGTTCGAGTTGCCATACCACATTAGTACACAGATACAATTGTCAATTCAATTCCCGTAGTATTAGAGGTAGTAAAAGTGTAAGCAGTAATCCGAAACATTAGGGTTTGAAGATGTTATTCAAGGAGTTATAATACAGTGAAATAAATTTGGAAAGAGAAAGAAAAGAGACATGAAGAATCCAGAAGATTAGAATTTGAGAGAATAGAAAGAGTGGATGCACCTGCGCCATTGCAAACGAATTTGAGCCATGTCATTCAAGGTCTCTAACCGTCGGTCGCTATCATCTCGTTGACCCAACCAGGTAGTCTATACTTACTAACATGGCTCAGTCCACTTGTCAGTGACTTCATGGATTTGAGTCATGTTTTAGTCTGGCAGTCCCTAGCTTTCTTCCAACCTACTCCTACATCATAAAACATCGCACGTCGAGGCAGTCGGTGGTTGGGTATACGTAACAAATATCTTACCTGTCTCTTACTATCAACTTGGTTGACTTTACACCTTAAAACTTCTGGCACACAAATAACGTCTAAGATTCCATCTTGAAACTATTCACCTTACTTACGCCTGTTACCCTTTGTAGAGAACCATGGTCTGCATATCAACATTTTCCATCCAACTGTGTCCTGATCAATCTTTGTGGATTGTTATTCATACTTTTGATGTCTGCTTTCACTTCCTAACGTAGTGTGTTCTTTAGCCTTCCTCTTTTCTGTTTCCTTTAAGGATTCCAAGTTAGCGCTTGCCTCGTGTTGCAGTTTGGTGATTTCCTCAATGTATTCTCACTCTCTCCACTTCCATCGTCTTTTCCTAATTTCCTCTTGATTTGTATCCTGGTTTATTTTCTTCCACAGTAGGTTGTTGCTGATGGTATCGGATCAACGAACATTGAGTATCTTATGTAGAAATGTTTTTATAAATGCTTGTATGTTTTCGATGATGATTGTGGTAGTTCTTCAAGTTTCACCAGTGAACATAAAATTATCATTACTATTTTATTAGGATGTTCATGAAGCTTTTGTTTTGCGAACATTCACAATCAACTTAGTTTGTTTAGAAGAAGATTATAGATCTTAAACTGAAATAGAACAATTATTTTAAATAAATTTAACTCGACTGAACATAATACATCCTTAATATATATATATATATATATATATATATATCACAGATTGGAATCATGAGTCAATTGAAGCTAGACCACCATGGAAAACCTGGAAGCACTGGATGGTCGTTTAGTCCAAGTATGGGACTCCTCAGCAGTGCGCATCCACGTTCCCGTACCCCACGAGATTCGAAACCAGGACCTATCAGGTTTTCCATAGTGGTCTAGCTTCAATTGACTCATGATTTCAATCTGTGAAATTTCTAAAATCTCCACAAACCCCTGCTTATATATATATATATCACTGTTGTACAGATTGAAGCAAAAACTCAGCACTCTTCAATTGAAATCCTTCCATAATTTATCCATTGAACTTTTGAATCCAGATAACTATTAACTTGTTCAATGTGTAAGATCATATTTGTAAAGATTTGTATTTTACTGTGATTGAAAATTCACGATCATTGAACTATATACCAGACATTTATATCTATAATGTTATCAAAAATTAGATTGAAATGTTTTGACATACACATGTCATCGTCTTCATTGCTAATCATCATCCACCTTTACCAATAACAATAACAACAAAAAATCAGTTTATGTAATTTGAAAAATACAATGAAGAAGATGAAGGTTATTAGAATTATGTGATTTATATGCACAAAGCATTTCGAACAATCTAACCATATACATGTACTTGTTAACACATTTTATATATGAAAAAAATAAAAGGTCAATTAGACAAATTAAAATGTAAACAGAACCAAAGATACACAAGAACAATGTGAGAACCATGATGTCTATCGGGATAGGTTAACAAGTACATATCTGATTAGATTGTTCGAGAAGTACAGCATAATTATATTATATAAGTTGGATAATCTTCGTCTTCTTATCGTATTAATCACTAGTAAATATATAATGGAGAATGTTATTCGTTGTGATGCACTTTGTTTAATTCAATACTCTTATGGATTGTTTTGTTTTCTATGTATGTGTTATATCACATGTACAATTCATGTGATAATAAATTTTTGTGTGCGGTTTTTTTTTCTCTTCACTGTTTAATTTGAATATGCATGTGTTAGTTCTGAAAAATCAACTTGAAATATTCAATGTTTATGAATTTATTTAACATCCTTACTTGAATTCATTCAGTGAAAATGTATTCTATGTGGTTAAAGACTAGGAAAACGTTAGATTTCATTTGGATCTCTTTTTCAGTTAGTCAGCTACAACGTAGAACCAGGCACATACATGCATCGGTCCAAGTTGCCATACCTCATTAACACAACAAGATGGACACCGGATTCATAAAAAAAGTTAATTCAGAGGTGATAATATATAAAAGAAAGATTGCAATAAGGATATAGTACAGGAAGAAAGAATTAGTTCGTAGAAAGAAAGATATGAAGCGATTTTAATCTCTTAGTTTAAGTGAAGACAGAGAGTGTATACACCGACACCATTGTGATCGATCCTGAGCCATGTCACCAAGAGTCTCCAATCATTGGTTACGATTGTCACGCGGATACCAACCAAGTAGTCTGCATCTACCCGACCGTCGTTGCTACCTTGACGTGGTGGTCAGGCTTGCCTATCGTGATGAAGCAACCGAGCCATACTGGCTGGAAAAACCGTTCCTCAAGGTCCTACCATGTCAGACAGGTCGGTTGAAGAGCGGTAAGACTAAAAACAAAAAACCGAAGGTCCGAAGGCGAAGTCGTACTGCTGACTGTACAGAGGTGCGATAGCAGTAAGGTGTTTTCTTCAGACAACCAGCATGACAGCGATGCTGTCTCCCCACAAAGAGGGGTGGGATTAGAAAAGGTCGATCCTAAAAATGCACACCTCGCTTTATTCCACGGATATCCGTCTCCTGCGATAAGGTCTCAAGAAGTACGGAGCTAACACAAAAATTACTCATAAAAAGGTGGTGTGTGACCGACTTGAAGCAGTTGTCCCTTGGGCACTGCGGTCACGCTCTCAGGTCACTAAAACCACCTCTAATCCAATTTCCTTTTCAGGTACCTCCCGGATCTCTTTTTGATTCCGATCAATATTATTTCAAAAAAATTTCCAATTAGATTCACTATTGACTAATATACGAGGAAATTTGAATAAAAATAAAAACAAATAAGAATGTCATAACCAGAATATGGTTTCATTTCTTATTGTGATTCATAAGATAATCAGTCTATAATTTGCTTTTAAAAAAGTATAGATAGTTAGTATTTACTTATTATCACTGCATTGTTTATTCAATCATTGAAAGAGATTCAGGGTCATCTCCCCTGGGTGCGTGATTGTGAGTCTGGACACTTATTGTCCAATGTTTTCCAGTTTACGGTGATTCTCAGATATCATTAATTTTATGAAATGCAATCCATAAATTTTTCGCAAATTAATGAAAGTGAATAATATTGAACCAGTAGAGAAAATGTAAAAGATCTAGCGAGACTCATGTGAAGCTTTAGGATATGTTGATGACTAGGGGATGAGTGTCCTGAGCACAGTGTATTCATTGTTGATCTAGTCCAAACTTCTTAATCTTCTCTCATTTCAATGGTTCTCTAGCAAGTGATCAGCTTGTTCATATTCGAATTCATTCGAAAGAAAGACATTGTGTAACCTAATGAATGAAACGGTTATTAGTTCGTACTTGTACAGCGTAAAAAGGAAACTTTCTACTATTGATTAATCAATAAGTAATGAGACTAATGTTTCATTTACTACTGTGGTGTATGCCACTTTATGTCTGTCGACATAAGTAGTATGTAACGTCAGTCGGAATTGGAAAACCTGGCAGCAGAAGGCTAAGAAGATCGAGTTGAAGAGAATAAAAAGGAAAATAGGAAGGAATTGTGAACTTGAAGAATCATACAGAATGTGAAGGACAAATGATGATTTAATATCACGTACATTATAATTACTGACGAGTTAGTTTTTTTATGAGATACTCTGCCTTGACCTTTTTACTAAAGCTAAATTCATGACTTCCAACTGCCTGACAAGTAGACTTCTTTTCACTTGACTGTCAGTCATGAAAAAATTTGATTTTTTTGGTATCTCTATTTCTCTTAAAAATTTTCGTTTTCTTTGTTGTCTTCCCTCATGTCCTCATCTTCATTTGTGATAATAAAAGGTGTTGGAATCATGTTCATTATTATTTTTAAAATCCAAACACATATCATGTCAATCATCTCATCCTGTTTGTACGGAACTAAGCACAACGACATCATCAAATGGTAATGATACTTGTTCAAATGTTTCGCAACCAGATTTATCTACGACATTCAGGCAAGAGACTATTGACAGTTTAATTGACAACGACCCAACAGTAAAAGAAGTGAGTTGTTTTTCTTTTTATTAGATGTATATGAATTAGCTCGACTTATCCACTGATTCAGTGTTATTTTTAATAACACGAGACAGTTTGACGTTTTTTTACCCTTTTATTTTACTTGTTTATATCTCCTTTCTGTATTTCAATTTATAAAATTGAGTATAATCACTTCGTTAGTAATTGTTCTATTATTTATAAAACAAACATGCGATTCTGTATAGATCTCTTGTAGATGCCAAGAACTTAACTTACTTACTTTCGCCTGTTACCCCTCGTGGAGGAGAATATGCTGCCCACCAGCATTCTCCATCGAACGATGTCCTGGTCAATCCTTTCCAGTTGTATTACAATGAATGATTGGAAAAACGTTTCAGTTCGCATGCACTTGAAATTGTCCCGTTTCCATTAAGTGACCATTTATAGAGTTGATTTCCGTAAATTCAGTTTAAGAGTTTTGAAATTGAGTAATATTTTGATTGAATATATTTTTAATGAATCAAAGTATAAAGCTTATTGTTGACTGAATTTTGATCAGTCTTTGTAAAAATAGCATGTACATCATATGTCGATTACCTCGATATATATTCATTTTATCGCATGAGTTTTTAGAATATATGTATTATGGTTAACAGTGATAGTTAGGATTGGCGTTTCATCCTATTTGAAGCTCATCAGGTGGATGTACCTACTGAATTTTGATTTGTAAAGATACCATACCTGTTGTACAACTGTTTGGTGGTTTTGATGGACCTTTCTAATGGAAGGTATTTTGGTCGAGTCCCGGTTCGAATATTACCACAGATTCAGATAAATGCATTTGATGGGTCTCAAGTAGGATGAAGTGCATCTTTCACCCCAGTGTTAATATCAATTCATCTTTTGGTGAATTGTGATATCGTTGTTTGAGGTGATTCTCAATGTTTTCAGTGTTCAATGCATTTGCTTTGTCTTACACTTTCGTCCACTTTTCCGTGTGTTTTGCACATCAGAATGTTACGTTTATTAAAGGCTTTTATTGTGTCTGGAAACATATACAACTGTCTGCTATCAATACATTAATGTAGTGCAGTCGGATTAAAACAAAAAGAAAACAAATTTGTTGAAAGTGTTAGGTTTTGAAGCGAAATTTCTCAGATGAAAACTACACTTTAATTTTGCATCACTTGCTCACTAAATTTATAGAAAACAACCCAAACGTTCTGGAAACATTAAGTTAAGTCCTTTCAATAAACGATATTACTAATCAGTTCCATGTCAGATAATTCATTTATTTATCTTCTTGTTACATTTGGATTCACGAGTCGATCTAAGCTAGACCTTTGTTGAAAACTTGGGAGCACTGGACGGCCGTTTCGTTCTAACATGGAACTCCACACTAATGCTCATCCACGACTCTACACGCGTGACTCGAACCCAGGATCTTCGGTTTCGCGCGCAAACGCTTAGCGTCTAGACCATTGATCCGGCATACAACGGTGTTGATGTCTTACTTCAACTCTGATCGATCTGTAATCTTAAACAACCCTTCATGTTTTATCGAAAATAGGGAACTATCTCACACCCGTGAATTCAGCTGTGAAAATAATAGAATCTTCACGAATCTCCATACTGATAATTATCTATTTGTGTTTAAGTTACTTGATTAAGTCGATTTCAGTTAGCTGGGTAGTATTAATTACCAATATACAAATTACTAACAATTGTCAATCCTTTGAATCATGATAGTGTCTTAACTACAAAAAACTCTATTCTTTTTCATCTTATTTACGGTAACTAACATCTGATTCAAATGGTCATATCACATATGAATTATTAATGTATTTTTGAGTGTTCATCACCACATAAGGGAATTTTCAGTTTATTCTAAGTATTGGACATTCCATCTCTCTCCTTATTTGAACTAGCTCCATTCTTTCTCTGCCTTTTTTTGGTCAAAAATAGAGATGTAAACATATATCATTCATCGGATCTATCAAATTCTTCCTTTCCATTAAACGCAACATTATTATTTATTTTGTTAATTGAATTGCTCATGTGTGTAATAAAATTAAAATGACGTATTCTATAGTGATTATCATCATATGACATTTCAATCATTGAAATAATCAGAAATGTGATTGAAGTTATATGAAGGAAAAATTAATCTATCAAACACGTGATATCATATAATTTGCATCATGAATTGAATTTGTTTAGTCAACAATTGAAAATCTGGAAGGATTGGACAAATATTTCGTTCTAGTGTGGGGATGAACAACAACTTGTGTTCACCACCTCAGCTGAGGTTGAACTCGAGATGTTCAGGCTTCATAACTAGTTCTTTACCTTCAAACCTCTGGTTGAAAGTCCAGTTGTCTTCATTTTTAATTTCGATAAATTCATAATGTTGCACAGTGGCTATCAATAACTGACTGCCACATACCTGATATGATTCAATCCTACTGGTGGTAGTGGTACGGCCTGCCATTTGAACTCGGGTGGGATTATCCATCAAAATTAGTCATTACTGTGCATATGATTATTATTTTTATGAAGGGTTTGTAGTGGTTATTCAACTTTATAGTTTACGTCACGAACTGACCTTGGTCAAACGGCCATTAAAATCAAAGTATCAATAGACAGGTATTTCCTCCTAGTATTGCCGCTTCTTGTCGATTCGTTATAGAAACTATGAAATTAAGCAGTTTCCACAAACCCTTTTACGTTAATAAAAATGTAATCTAATTTAAGCATATTTTCTTATAGATTCTTTGTGTGTGGCTAATATTTTATTTGTTTTTTCGGTGTATCATTACGTCGTCCAGTGTATTAATTGCATTCAATTGAGTGATAATACAACGAACGATACAGCAGTACCCGATGAATTGGATTTCGGGCAGTCGCTACAATATCTTATGGAAACTTTACAGTTAAACAGTATTAATCCGGTTACCACGGTTTCCATATCTACATCAACATCACCGTTGTCATCACAAGTATTTCCAATCATCACTAGTAGTGAGTCGATTTTAACACAGACAGAAATAATTCCAACCATGGATATGGCTACATCAATAACAATTCCCAATAACATGTTCACTAAAGGTTCGTTTTCTTTGTATTATCTAACAGCAATTCGATTATTATAAAAGTAATGCTTTGCAGTTTCTACTATTCGATGGAATTCGAGTGAGCTTACAGTCATTTCTAATAATGAGCAATTGAAATTTCTTTTTATATTTACCCGATAGTACGGCCATCGATACACATACCCACACAATGTCTCAACTGTTATCAGTATAGGGTTGTAGCGATTGTTGAATTTTATTGAGATCACGGACAGTTCGAAGTTAGATTAAACATTGAAAATCAGGGAGCACTGAGTAGTCGTTTGGTCCTAGTATGAAACTTTAGGGTGTACTCATCCGCGACCCAGCACCTTTGATCTCTTGCGAGCGCCTAGTCTTTAATCACTAAGCAGGTATACAATGGTGTTAATGTCTAACTTCGTTTAATCCACGTTATTGTGCAACCATCTTTCATTATCTTCAGTGGGTAATTATCTCACACTGCACGGTTGAAATTTAATTGTCACATCTTTTCACTGGAACTCCAAGAATTTCCTATCGAAGTTAGTCACTAATGAACACACCATCTCCAATATAATGAAACCCATGAAAAGGACAAAAGTATGGGAAAAGTTTTAATATTCCGAAAGTCAAGAATTCAAAATTGAAAAATAATAACTTTGTATATTTTTTAGTAGTAACGAGGCATGATCGTGAGACTCGGGAAAATTAGCAAACTATTAATGTTAACAATTAATTAGAGAGACTGAGAGAGAGCGAAAAATTACTTACTTACTTACTTACTTACTTACTTACTTACTTACTTACTTACTTACTTACTTACTTACTTACTTACTTACTTACTTACTTACTTACTTACTTACTTACTTACTTACTTACTTACTTACTTACTTACTTACTTACTTACTTACTTACTTACTTACTTACTTACTTACTTACTTACTTACTTACTTACTTACTTACTTACTTACTTACTTACTTACTTACTTACTTACTTACTTACTTACTTACTTACTTACTTACTTACTTACTTACTTACTTACTTACTTACTTACTTACTTACTTACTTACTTACTTACTTACTTACTTACTTACTTACTTACTTACTTACTTACTTACTTACTTACTTACTTACTTACTTACTTACTTACTTACTTACTTACTTACTTACTTACTTACTTACTTACTTACTTACTTACTTACTTACTTACTTACTTACTTACTTACTTACTTACTTACTTACTTACTTACTTACTTACTTACTTACTTACTTACTTACTTACTTACTTACTTACTTACTTACTTACTTACTTACTTACTTACTTACTTACTTACTTACTTACTTACTTACTTACTTACTTACTTACTTACTTACTTACTTACTTACTTACTTACTTACTTACTTACTTACTTACTTACTTACTTACTTACTTACTTACTTACTTACTTACTTACTTACTTACTTACTTACTTACTTACTTACTTACTTACTTACTTACTTACTTACTTACTTACTTACTTACTTACTTACTTACTTACTTACTTACTTACTTACTTACTTACTTACTTACTTACTTACTTACTTACTTACTTACTTACTTACTTACTTACTTACTTACTTACTTACTTACTTACTTACTTACTTACTTACTTACTTACTTACTTACTTACTTACTTACTTACTTACTTACTTACTTACTTACTTACTTACTTACTTACTTACTTACTTACTTACTTACTTACTTACTTACTTACTTACTTACTTACTTACTTACTTACTTACTTACTTACTTACTTACTTACTTACTTACTTACTTACTTACTTACTTACTTACTTACTTACTTACTTACTTACTTACGCCTGTTACTCCTCGTGAAGGAGGATAGGCCGCTCACCAGCATACTCCATCCAACCCTGTCCTAGGCAATCCTTTCCAGCTCCTTCCAGTTGTTATTCATCTTTTCATATCTACCTCCATTTCCCGACGTAATGTGTTCTTTGGCCTTCCTCTTTTCCGCTTCCCTTCAGGATTCCAAGTTAGGGCTTGCCTCATGGTGCAGTTTGACGATTTGCGTAGTGTATGTCCTATCGATTTCCATCGTCTTTTTCTAATTTCTTCAGCTGGAGACCAACAAATGTCATGTAAAAATATGACATTAGAAAAGATGTACTCGTTTTTATCGTTATACGAATGAAATTAACGTTTATTCATGAAAAACTTAATAACTTGATGTCCATCTAGGATTTTAAGCCTAGATTACTTATTGTTTTACTTATTAGTATATTTCATTATTAAGTTAGTAAGTTATGTTTTTCGGTTAATTTGATGCGACCTGTCTATTCATTTTATTCTTAAATTAAATAAATGAATTTATTTATTGTAAAAGTTGGGATGAATACTTAAACCATTTAATCTATTTCCATCTACTGTTCCTGGTCTTCTCTTTTTAAATGTATGCCTCATAGTGACGTATATGAACGTTAATCCATGGTCACTGAGCGCAAGTGCAGTTAGATTCGAACCCATGGTTTTGTCCCTATATAGTGACTAATTTAGCAGGAAATGATGGCTAATAATCTTTTTTCTGATATATATATATATATATATATATATATATATATATATAATAGAACTGTACATTGGTTATAGAGCCCCTTATATAGCAAGTGTCACGACTTTCTTCTTTTGGCTTAATACTCCACTAATGTTATTATCGTATATGTATGTACATAAACTCGAACCCATCTTGGGAGCAACAGTTTCTTTCAAGACTTCAGATACGAGTCCCAACTAGCATTGAAACCCAGATTCACTGTTTCCAGTTTAGGATAGAGTCATAGGATTAATCTGAACTCTCTTGTTATGGTGTGATATGAAAGCTATCCAGCGTATAAACCTAAAGTTGTTGAAATCAGCTTGACTATACAAATGTTTAGTCTCTACATGTGTGTATTTATATGTATTCTAAAACGTTTTGTATTAACTCTTAAACGATTGTAAAATGATTGTGAAGCTTATTAAAAAAAGATCTGGTAATATTAGACGTAGAGTTAAGAGGGTTAAAATTATTTGTTGCAACATGTATGAACTAACTTTAAACTCAACAATGCACTGTCGAGAACGAAGTATTTTGGTTATATTTCCTGTAGTGGAGTTATAGATACATACTGCCAAGGAGTCCCATACTAGGAGGAAATAGGTCTCTAATATTTCCTTGTTTTTACTGATTGTGTGACTAAGATCAATTCGTGGTGTTCAGCATACTTTATGTTTGCTCGCTTGTGTTTTTATTTCCTGATGCTTTAAATCATTGCATCATCAGTTGTTACTGTTGCGTGCGTTTATGTGTTATCATTTTTCTTTATTACTTCATATACTTTTCGTAGGTTCTGATCTTGAAGGTAGAACATCGCCAATCTGTGTAAGTTTCCCCTTTTTATAGATTTTCGGTTACTGATTTCTCGTCATTTGTCACATATTCGACATTCCTATTGAACTTTTGTGCTCACCATGTTCCAATATATTTTGTGTTAACAATAACTATCGTGAGCTGATTAAGTGTTCCAATTCTACACTACTGGAAATATTTCACTTTCGACCTTTGAGTTGCAGATCCAAAATGACTTTAGTTATAATAGTTAACGCTACTACTACTACTACTACTACTACTAAATGACTCTCTAAACTGAAGTAAACTTGATCAAGGTTCGAATCTATGGATAAATGGTTGAATGGTTAAACCCATAGGTCAATGCTTCACTTCTTTGGACAAAATAGAGAATAGGAATTTAGAGCAATTAATACCTTTCTTACATTTTTATAGAACAATTCGAAGAAGTTGATCCAAACATTGTGATGTATTTATACTATATATTCCAAAAAATCTGATCACACATAGACTTGTCAAAGCGTTTGTCCTGATAATCTTTAAGCTATTTTGTGGCCTAGGGTAGTGCGGCAATTTCCTATTCTTTCCATATGAAAGGAATCTGTTTTCTTTCCTTTATTTACAATTATCATTTAATGTCTATTCGGTTTTTTTTATTTAATTGAACTTTATTAATTTTCATATATAATATTTCTTGATTAGGATATGTGTGACCATATTGTTCGAAATGTATGACGTGAATACATCACATTTTCAGATCAACTTTGTTTTCTCATTGTTCCACCAAAGAGAATAGGAAAAATATAAGCTAAGCATGCTCATAGTCCGTGAGGGAAACTGCTGGTTGTGGAAAAGTTTGATGATAGTAGGATATTTTTCCCTCAAATAACTGGTGCCTGAATCGATGATATCTTCCTAAAACGGAAGGAGATTAGAAAATGTTAACCCTGAAAGTACCACACTCCATATTATTCCGTGGAGTAAGCTTCCGTTCATACGAACGACTATTGACCGGTCTGAAACAGTTATTCTTTTAGACGCTACGCTTTCAATGCTAGGTTGTTTGTTCTACCACTAACCCGTTTTCCTTCTCAGTTATCACAAGGAGAAGTATTTTTCTGCTAGGGTTTAGGCAAACATGAAGTTGTAACCACCGTCACACTTCCAACAGCATTTGAGATCAACATATTCATAATCAAAACTGTTATTAATTGATAACAGAATTCAGGTATTCTGTGATGCATCTGACAATATCGATATATTTCTGTTCCCTAAATTCAAACTGTGTAACAGCTATACATATTCCAAAAGACTGAAAGTTTCGTTGTAGTTTCTTATATACCCTTTATAAATGGTAGGATGATCCGTCTGTTGTTTTCCGTACTTGATTTTATTTTTGCTGATGCGTTTGGTTGGTATTTTTTGATGAAAAGGACGGCTACCCAATCAACTTCATCAAATTGGAATGCAATTCACATCCTGAATTGATATTAGCTAACGAATGAGGACTATTGAAGCGACTACTAAGGTCGATGCATCAAACTGCTACTTTCCTGTAATTATGGATTGTTCTCCCCCACACTATCGATTAATAAACACTCGTAATCTTTCCATTGGATTGACACATAAGAATTTATGGTTTTCCGTCAAGCTCCAAATACTCACCACGAAATTATAAATTACTCAGTGCCATAAAATTGTTGATAGTTGTGCGCACTGATGAAGAGTTATAATTAGGAACAAGGTAACCACCTAGTTCATTTTGATTTCATCGGTGTTCCTCAATGGATGTTAGTTGTTGTTAATATGTAGCATATTAGCAGGATTCTTTTATCAACGACCTATTTTATACTATTTTTAAAAAAAGATGTTTCGTCATTGGTTCCACTCATTAAAGCGGTTGAACATCATTATCCGTTATGTTACCCAAGAAATCTAAAAAAATGCGTCTTTCCATCATCGATAGATAGTGACATTTTTCAGCTAGATGATAGAAAAGTATGCACACTATGGACTTCATTTTCAACTAGGAATTAAGTATATCTCTTAGAAGACGGCGCACATTGACAAGTAGGCACAAACAATGTGTTATTTAAAACATCAGAAAGCTACAGATTAATTATAAAATGAATTAAGCACAACTGATTTGCTACTGCAAAATTGTTTATTTACACTAAATCACGTTTATCTGTTTATGTGTCTAAAATATGGGTAGCATATCCAAACCCGTGAATTAGATTCGAATAGGCATGTGTATCAGGAAATATAAACTATGTACTTACAATTCTCTACCAGTAAACAATGAATATAATGAGTGATGGTAGATATTGATAATAATTCACAAATTCGCGGTACCTATCCACAAATAGAAGGAAGAGAGCGAGAAAATTTCCTTGCAATTAGTTACCAATCAGTTACTAAGACGCTTAAAATTAATAAATATGCAAACATTAAAACATAGAGACCACTAATTTATTTTCATTTTTTTATTTGAATCTTCCCATTGATGTTTTGGACTGTAGCTGATCAGTCTCTTATTGGCATATGTACATCCTGTGCGAATTGAGTCGATGTTACCTTGAGTCACAAGCATTGTAAGCAAAGATAAATGGTGGCTAGCAATTAAATCCAGAACACACGTTTCGTCTTACTTGGGACTCGTCAGCCGGATGAACCTGTGTTTGAAGCTAACGGTGCTGGAATCGAGTTCCGGAGTGAACATCAACTCTGGAATTCAGGTACATCTAACTGATGAGTTCCAAATAGGATGAGACGTGCGTCTTGGATTCCACTGCTAGCCACCGTCCATAGAGATAAATATTTATGAAGTTTTCAAACCAACTGAAAGATTTGCTAGATTCAAAACTAATAGATTAACTTCATAAGTATTCATCTTTATGATTACAAAGCATTCTTTCACTTTATTCTCATTCATTACTACCAACCCTCACCTTTTTTCTTTTATGATTACTTGGATTCAGAGAGATTATCAATGGTGATCTCGACATTAAATCATAGAAATTCTTCATTCATCCACACACACACACTCTTATTTATTAGTTTCCTGTCTAGTATTGATTAGTAATAATAGTAGTAAACTGTTTAATTATTATGTTATGTTTTTAATTCTATTGAATATAAAATCTAGGAAGTTTCAACGAATTTAACTTGTTCATTGATGAGTGCTACTACTACTACTACTATTAATAACAATAATTATAATTATCCATTGTCAACTATTTCTCGTTCTACTTCGCCAATATTACAACAAATAAATCACAACAATGAACAGACTTGCAATCTTACAACTGGATCTTCTTGCTTCAATAATATTTCATCAAAATTAACTAATGAACGTTTTACTAGTTTTGTACATGCTAAGTGAGTTGTTTATTTTCCTTTATTATTATTTTGTTTTTGGAAAATATTCTGTACTACATATTGATTGAATATGTGACGTTTTTAATGTTAACAGTATATCATTGTATCCTAGCAGTTCCAATCATTTAGTGGATCAGTGAATAAGTACTAGTTGTGAAAGTGTAGTTTCCACCAAATATTTCATTTTAAACACCCTTCCCTACTCCTTAACTTTTATTGTTTTTGTGCTCTTCATCTGATTTGTTCTGCTCTCTACACTATATATATATATATATATATATATATATATATATATATATATATATATATATATATATATATAAATTAATATCAATAACTAAAGACATTAAAATGGTAGTTGTTTCGATCGATATACAATTAATGAAAGAATGAAATCTAGAAATGATGAAAGATCAACAGATCATAGTCAAAGGAAATTAAACTAGTAAAGCGTAAGACCGGTGATTGCAGATTATCATCATCTTGTGGGCGAAAATTCGAAAGTTTTTCACCTAAGCCTTAAAATAAGTCACGTTATATGCTAATGTGACTTTTTTTAGCTGCTCAAACTACTAATGTGCTAGCTAGCCTTAAGTGTCCATGGAATAAGCGTTGACTGGTCGCTTTTTTTCGCTGAAGATCTGAAATCTTGTCAAACGATTTATTATTTCTATCTAGCACTATCCTCTTACAGTCTATGATGCCTGATTCAGCCACAGATAAACACGCTCCGTATACGCTTATTGAAAGCATCGATGACAGTGAGAGTACAGGGTAATGTTTAGGAGGCTTTAATCAGAAAACCGAATCATAGTTTGTATAAATCATATGTACCTACATACAATTGTCCTTCTGACGCAAACATAAATGTGTTAACTGATATCTCAAGTCGGTTCACAATAGAATTCCTCTCATAATGTCTCGTTTATATTCTCTCATCTACCACCTGACCTTTAAATGGATTGTGAGCGCACGCACTTGATATATCTATACTTAACCAGCCCATTGTCTCCAACTTCAAATTTACTGGTCCCACCATACATCATGAGTGGTGCTTTAAAACATGTTTATTATCAAGTAACTTCAATCTTATATGTTTATTTCAAACCCTTATGCGTTGGTGTTTCGGAACCTGGAAGTAATATAACACTCACTGTTGCATGGGTGTACTCACCATTTGACAGAAAGATGAAAATCTTACCTATATTGCATGTCATATCCAGACTTTGTTGACTTGCAGAAGTTAGTTCAACTGACGTAATCAGATAAACCGGTGGTTTGGCACATACGTATCAATTGTTTCAACTAACTCAATTATATATACATATATCGTTTTACTTATATCTCATTTTTATTTATTTTCATTTTTTACTCCTTTTTTATACATAGCTTTTTGCCAGATGATATTGTAATATTTGTTCCTGTTCCAGGAACTAGACCAAGTATTTCATCACCAACATTAAACACTTCTCCAACTGCAATCACTACCATCACTTCTGTCACAGCAACAACGACTTCTGCTGCAAGCTGTATTCCATCACAAAATTGCCATAATGCTGTAAAAGCAGATGATGGTACTGTTGCTACTACTACTAATAGTAGTAGTAGTAATAGTAATAATAATGTTCATGATTCAACAATGATAACTAAATCTGACATTTGGTCAATGAATAGTAAATTCGCTTCGAATCTCTTAGATGCTATTTCACCATCATCTAGTTTATTATCGTCAATGATTGTTCAATCATCGTTACCATTTTCATCAATATTTATTGATTCGTTAACAGGAGGAGGAATTGTATTAGGAAGTTCTGGTATTAGCACTACCGATACTATTACATCTGTCACTACTACAAACACAAGTGACAGTAATACCTCAATGAATAGTAGTAGTATCTTATCTACGCCTAAAAACATTTGTGCTTTAATCAACAGTAGTAGTGTTGACAGCAATAGTACATTAGCTAATGAATTATGTACAAGTACATTTGGCGGTAATTATGGTACACTTTTACCTTCAACTACTACTCCTACTACTAAATCTGGTTGTAGTAGCACTAGTGTCAATACTACAACAACAACTGAATCATCTTTCACAACGTCCACATCAACTATCACTTATGTTCAATGGCGTATGTTATCCTCGGATGGACATGTTTACTTTTTACATCAAGATGATTTTAAGGCATTGAATATTGACGATCATATTGATTATTGTAAGCCTATGAGCTCTAATGTACAGGAAACAAGTAAGTATATATGTAGATGTATATGGATATCTCGACTACTAACTCTTGACTTTCATTTACTGTAATAGAAAATGTAAATGTTCAATAGTCATATTGAAACTGTTTTACTCACTGTAATTTTCATTATAAACAGTTTTATGAATAAATGCCATCTTCTGACTGATATGTATGGGATTAAAGACCTTTTTTCCGAATTAATGGTTATTAACACTTTGTAAGTGTTGTTTGATATGTTACCATCCAAAAAGTCATTGGGAATCATAAATTCTAAAGATATCGGTGAAATTTCAGTTTTCTTTTCTCAATTCGACTTACTATTTGACAAACGCTAGAGTAATATTGGTATTGAGCTTTCAGGAACCATGAATACAAAGTTGTTTTCCATTTTCATTGACATTTTAAATAATTAGGTAATTCAACAATTTTGTATACTGATTCATGATTCCTTTCCGTTTGTATGAAGACTGACGGCACCATTAAATACGTAGGACGGGTTTCGAACTTGGTTTTCGCATATTAGAAAAATCTAGTTCGTGAACTTAGAAGTAACAACTTAATCAGACATTGTTGTCGCTAATCATTAATACTAACCACTCAGGTCATTTTTGAAATGATTCAATGAAATCAAGTCACGATTGTTTTTATTTGCTAGAGATTCGTTGTTCAAACTTTGAAAAAGATTTGAAATCGTTTCATTCTGTAATCGTTTATTGTTTTGTTAATCAATGTCTATGAATCGGTATTGAGCTATAATTCAAACTTATTTAATCAACTGGATACTTAAAACTATTCAGAATTGTCTTCTTCTATATAAGCAAGTTATTATGACTTTTAACAAGTGTGAGTTATCAGCTTAGCACCACTCCTCTTTATATGAAAACTAATACTATACTACTCAAATGTTTAGTGGAGTTTGAAATTACACGTATGTACGTCGGTGCTTTTGACTATCTTGACGTTATATTTTTGTCGAGATATCATTGTTTACTCTAGGTTTTCTTGGTCATATTAAAGTTGAATTATATGGGTTTAGATCAGTTTCCGTCTTGTAAATAGTGTTTGCTGGACATAGAACTCTGTTCATGTAACTGTCGTTTCTTTATGGCAACGTTTATTGTTATGATGTTTTGTGGTGTAGATGAATCATTCAGTAGACAAGCATCACTTTCATTTTAATCAACAAATATATTCGCTTACATCATAAATATACGTCGACAATAGCGCCTAGGTTCGAATTCATCGGGACACATTAGTTCCCTCAACATTACAGGTATATCTTGCTGGCTAGTGTCAACAAACATGACCTAAGTCCAGAGTTTCCAATTGGTTACCTCCAATTGTCTAACATAGTAAAGCATATCTGGACCACTACTAGCCCTTATCCGTTACAAATTTAAATGCGAGTTTAATGCTCTAATTTTGTCTATTTTGCAGATATTACATGTAGGTTGTTCGACAAATGTCCCAGTTGTATTTTCACATTTTTCTCTTATATTATGTTTTGTGTTAACAGATTCATCTCACCATAGGAATGTGTCGTTTAAAGAAGCGTTTCAAGCACATAATTATTTTGTCGCAGCCAGATACAAAAGTAAAGAACGTTGTTTATCTAAACGAGTAAGTTTATCTATCCGTTTATCCATCCATTGATAGACCTATCTGATGATTGTGTATCCTTATGAGTGTTTTTTTCTTTTTTCTACCAAAATTCAACTTCACCTGAACACAGCCATTGTACTTGTTAGTTGAGTTTATGTTTGACAGACATAGTATAAGACAAAACTGGGAACATATCGATCTGTTGTTTATTTTGCTCTTTATACCTATCTAGTATTTCTTTGATTTCCATTCAATTTGATATCGATCACAAACAAGACAAATCACAGTACTAACAAATTTTTATATTTGTGATGCCTTTAATTCATTTGATTGTTTTTGAAATTATCAGGATTACTGAAGGTACTATACTGAGCTAAAGCTTAGAATCGTGTTTAAATTCATTGACGTTAATCTGCTTTGGTAGAGATTGGGGCGACTGTCCCACAATAGACATGATTATCAGACTAACTGTTTGACTGGAACTTATGCTACATCAGATAATCAAACGAAATATACCTGTCTGACGATTCATTTTTAATTCAAACAAACATAGGTATTGTGTCTTCAGCCATCTTTTGTATAATGGAAGAAAATAGTCAACAGTCTGTAGTATAACTCACATACACTGTACAACATACAGTGAACCGGATAGGTAGGTTTATTCACAACCATCGAAAAAGAGCTGGAGATATGTGATTATTATTCATTCAGTTTGCCTTATAGTTAGAAATTAATTGATATAAATCCTAGTCAATAATTTTACAGATGTTAGTTCATATTTCGACTCAGTCCAAGTATTCTTTCAACTTTCAATTATCACCCTAATGTCGTTTCGAGTTGTGTTTTGTTTTTGTGTATATCAACATTAGCCCCAATTGGTGACAGTAAACTTTTTTAATCTCCGTTTCGATTACTTAAGACGTCTGTTGCGCTTCTCGGAGGTTACGCTCTCCAGCTGTCTCATCGTTTCACGGCTTATCATCTTCACATTGTTCCGTTTTCTCTTCTATACGGTTATTTTGCATTTCAGGAGCAAACTGGAAGAGGGGCTAAGTTTGATCATTAGAAAAGTGGAAGGTTTACCGTAGTAATCTAATTATGATCATGAGATTGCTTTGATAACCATTGTTGGATATTTAAGCTCATCGTTGTGGTATGGACGTCATACGTCATACATCACGTGCATTAGAATGCACACGTTCTAATTAATTTTGTTCATAAACTGTCCTAAATATTTATGTATTTCCTGAAATTATTTTTCATGTTCCACCAACTGATGTAGTTACTTGGTTCGGGTATTTACCGGACTGATCATATGTATGTTAGATTGGTATTGTAGAGGAATAAGTTTTATTTTACAGAGAATTATTATATCTATTTTTGTTGTCGAGTTATCAAATATCAGGAATATGATATTTTTATATTGTTCTTATCGTAAGCTTTCATTTTCATTCGTTGAGTTGTTAGATGTTTTACTGTTCCTTAATTATAGTTATTTAATTACGGGCCTATTGTTCAGTTTTGTATCACATATGACTAAGTAATGTACAGTTTTGTAGTGGATTGTGGTTATGTAACTGATGTGAGTTTTGGAGTTAGAATAATAGAAACTTAATCGGCTTACTGCCTTCGTGTTGTAATTCATTACTAGGGTTAGGAAGAGCCAGATGAACCAATAGAAATTAGAAGTTTCATTCGTTATCTTTCACGGTTATTTAGTTATTCGTCAAAAAAGTGGAAGGTCATTTATCCAAATAACAAAAGGCGAACTAGTTATGATTGGACTCCGTAATTAAATGACTGGATTGAACTGACAATATGAGAAGGTTTGGTTTCATGAATCATGTATGCTTATATGATTTCATTACAATTAATTGATCATTGAATGGAGTGATCATTGTATTTATTTAGCTTTTATGGTGCTAATCGGATTCTATCGATGAAGTTGCAATCTGAGCACTGGTCTAAGTGACTCGACATCGTGTGCACAATGTTGAAATGTAATCTGGTGGTTGATGGTAATCGACAGAAAACACTGAATTTTTGTTTCTTGTTATTTGGTACTCATCAGCAAGCTGCAACTGTAGTCTTAAAGTAATTAATACTTACCCAACTCACTGAGACACAACTCAAACTGAATGATATAATTGAATGCATCAGTGGGCATCAATCCTCTAAAGATCACAAACCTCAAGTAGCATGAAGCGTAGATCCACCGTTTTCTGTCAACTAACTATCTCTAACCACTTAACATTAAACTAATATTCCATTAATTTAATTTTTCCAACGTTTTTCTTTTGTGTCCAGGCAAATAATCGATTCAATTTGCCGAAAAACTTTATATTTTACCGTGTTCGTGCTCGTCCTTTGTTGAATAGTAATAGTAGTAGTAATAACTGTGGCGGTGTTGGTGGTATTCCTTCGTCACCTTCTCCAACTGGAAATCTTAATCGTCAGCATCATAATAATGGCAGCAATAAAAATTCTGTGATTTGTGATTCCCATCCACTTATTTTACCAGATACAGATGTTAATAAAGAGTAAGTTTATAAGTGACATATATGTGATTGACGGTGGTGGAGAGTAGAGGCGTTCCAATCCGTTTGAGATTTGTCCTCGAAGAGAATAGGTCGGCGGGTGGCGGTGGTAGATAATAATCGAAGTATTGTTGTAATTATTACTACTTATTATTATTACAAATACTATTCGCACTTTTATTTTACTCTCCTTTGTTTTTCTCTCGTCATTGTTGTCATTGTTATTATTCTAACCTACTTGCATACCTACCTACCATATCATGCCTTTCATACATTACATATATCACTTCATCAATCATAATAAATTTCCTTCACAATCAAGCAAGATATACCAAGGGTAAAATTAATAGAAAAGTAATACTCTTTAAAATGACATACACACATCTACATCTATCATAATATTAAGTTACCCCTCGACTAATATTGAATGATGCAACTCATTATACTATCCCATAACCCACAATTATACAGATGTACTTGAATGAAAAATCGTCTATTATCATCAGTACTAGTTCTCAATAATACATTGAGAAAAAAGAATTGAATGTCATTATTCACATTTCTATTTCCTTATTCTTCTACTTTGTCTCCCTTTAAACTTTTAGGATAGTTCATTACTACCATTGAACTATGTTGTTGTATATGAAACACTTACCCTTAACTATTCTTTATGATTGTGTGATCTATGTATGCACTAATATTTGTTAAGCGCCTGTGTCTTTCTTTTCCCACTTTCTCCCCTATATTAAACCATATATATAATACATATATATATGTATTCCTTGTTTATGTATGAGGTACCCCTTTCCTCTTATTCATCTGGTTCAAGAGGTTATTTATTCTGTGTTCTTTAAACGTCTGGATGATTTCCATCATAAAACCTAATTCTGTCTGTTGGTTTTCGATTGTTAAATCTAATCACTTGTTTGAAAAGTTTTTTGACCTTATCACGCACACACCCTTACCATTTATTTACATATATTTTCTATACTGTGTTCTTGTTCTATGTTTGTGTTTCAGATGAACAATTGTGTATAAAGCTATCCAGTTCTCTTATCAACATTAGTATTATTATTGCCACTGTCCATAATAAACAACATTGATCATGTTGATAGTATTCGTGGTGGTATTTCCTTCTGTTTCTTTCTTTCTATCTACATTTAACATCAACTATGGCAAGCGAAAGAATTCCGCATAGATTTTTCTCATCTCTTTCTTAGATTTTCAACTTGACATGTATAAATTATTGATTATTGTTTGTGTTTGCTTTAAATACTGTGTAGATTCTTCCTAATATATTTTTCGCTTCTCTCCACTTATTTTCATCACTTCAAAATGGGTATGTATGACCTATCCAACTATACCTATATATATATAATTATTTTTTACAGGCTTTTCTTTTTGAAAATTATTTCACATTATTATCGTCTTGTATTATCTAAGACAAATAAAATTTTATTAAACCTATAAACTAAGCTAATCCTAACTCATTGTTGAACAGTTACTGTTTTCTGACTAAACACAAACTATATACACTTTTTGTTTGTACTAAAAGAATTGTCATTAATATCATCATCATCATCATCGTTCTTGTTATTATTGTCAAAACCTTTATGCATATTATGATAACGTACGTACACAATGATAAAGCTTAACCGGTTTATATATACATATATATATATGGTATTTTCTGTATACAGATTACAATTAATCATCTATCGATATAATTTGGTTTACTGTTCGATTATGTAAGATGAATATATATTTGTATTTGTAATTTACTCTGTACTATATAAAAGACTGATAAAGTTTGCCCATTTTAGATATAACACAGATGTGTATTCATGATCATTTCTGTCATGGTCTATGTTTTGACTTTCTTTTTTCTTTTCTTTTCTCTTTTTTTGCAATTGTTAATCTTTTTCCTTTATTCTCTTTCATTTATATTCTTTATATAAACACTGAGATGATATAAAACAATGACAATGAACAATTACACAATTATTCTCATTTCATACAACAATGAAAACATAACAACCATTATCATTCATACTCAGAAATAATTTCTATTAAATTAAAAGGATTTTCTAGTTAATAACTTATACATATATAGATATTGAAAGTAGAAATAGTTTAAGCTTTTTCTTTTAAAAATGAAAAATACCTGTTACATATATTGAATATTAATGTGGACAGATTGGGTTTTAGTCCAGTTATCATGGAAACAAATTAAGTTTTACGTTTGTTCACTTGATATTCGCTAATATAACTCGTAACCGGATCAATTGATTAGATTTAATAAACCATTAGTTATGTCACTGGTTGAAATCATGAGTCGATTGAAGCTAGACCACCATTGAAAACCTGGAAGCACTGGACGGCCGTTTCGCCCTAGTATGGGACTCCTCAGCAGTGGGCGTCCACGATCCCGCCCCCCGCGACATTCGAACCCAGGACCTGTCAATCTCGTGCCAGCCTCGAATATGGATCCGATACTTTGAGTCAATCAAATATGTACACGTAATTAACTAAGAAACGATTTACATTTCTAGGGAATGACATATACACTATTGGCATCAATCTGATTCTTCAATAAAAAACTACCATCTCCATTATAGAACAACTTCATATGAATTTGAAAATGACAGGTTTATTTGTTTAATTGTCTATTATTATGAATCTAATCAATTCTCTGATTTTTCTCGGTAGTATTCTGACTAGCTTGAATTATCCGACCTGTTTCTTTATTGTGTTACCGAAATCATTCAATTTAGATGATAAAACATGTTATAAATGATCTTGTCACAAATATCTACAATTGTTCTCAGTCCCACTCATTTTGATAGAATTACTTGGTGGCTTATGCGACACTCTACTTTCATTAGTAGCATATCAACGGTTCGAAACTCCACTCCACCAATTTTGATTTCGGCAATTAATTAGCTCAAAATAGAGTACATAAATATCTACTTATTAGATGAGTTGTCTTCTATTAATATATAAAGGGTTTAAAGGTCTTTTCAGTTTTTTTCTCCATATCTTTAGGTATATAAATGTTCACTTATATTTCTTGTTTTCTTTCTCATACAGTCACGCAGAAAATTTAAGTGAAATTACTCACAACTTGACCATAGATATAAGTATACATATGTAGTCAGGGTTTATAGGAAAACAGTTCCTTTTAAGGTTAATTCTAGTCAGCTGAAAGTACATATTATCCAATGTTCAAAATACTTATTATTATGTTATGAATCACACTGGTTTATTTTTGTACAGACATACGTAATTAAAAATTGTTACTAAGACAACAATCTTTGATACATGTTTTTATCAATTTACAAAACTAAACTGCTCTGAGAAAAAAAGGTCAAAACGACCATGAGTTATTCGTCCCTGAAGTGATCACATCTACACACCGCTGAGGAGTTCTATATTAATACAAAACAACTATTTAATGATTCATGGTTTTGAATAATACACCCACCTAATCAATCCATGACAAATATGATCTATAAATTAATAACTAAACCGAATGTTTTTGTATAGAATTAAGCCGGTGAGATAGTAACAGAGTTGTTGAAATATATAAGGACAAAATTAGTGAATCATATAGAAGAGAAAGGAATATATGTATATAAAGTTTATCAAACTGATTTTCTAATGGAAATGAATATTGTGTTAGGTCGTAGTCAGAACAGTAGAATTCGAATCTTCATTTTGAAACACTACTCCAGTCCTTTTAAATAGAGTATTAATCATTCCTTAAAATTTAGAACCTGATCCCTTTCGGTAAAGTAGTTTTAATAATGTGATTTATTTGCTTTATTACTCTGTAAAGTCCTCATGAATTTACTAAGGAAAGTAAGTTTTAATGCATCGTGTTCCGCGTAAGTGTTCAGATTAATAAAGTGATTCCTCTTTCAGTTTGCGTGTCACTATTGAACACACACGAAGCATTAGTTATAGTTCAGTTCTGTTGACAGGTTGTTTGAACTGTTCTTTTTAATTTATAAATTAACATTCAATAAGCGCGTTATCTCTTATTGTCTGAGAATAATAAGAACAGTTATTGGCTTATTATTCTGTTGTGCGATAAATTATATAAGTCTAAATGTGTCAAATAATGTATATATGAGTATAAATTGTTTAACTGAACTTACATTTTAGGTGAAGGTCATCGGCTAACCAACCAATAGTTACTTAGCTTTCTGTGTTGACCTTCATATTAAAGCGTACTATTACGTATGCCTGCCAAACTATCATAAAAATCATTCATGCTGTTAATGGTGCCATGATGAAACAAAGTAAGGTATGAGTTTATAAAATAAATATAGCTTAAATGAACTTAAAAGTAATTGCAGAGAATTATTTCTTCCTGTAAATGTTATAAAACGATATATTCCATTAAATAACATCGCTTATATGCCGCATGCATAATTAATGGTATAAGTACGTTCTAAAGGTAATTCTCATCACCGATTCAAAATTAGTAAATCTTTAAAAAAAACGAAGACACAAGACACCTTTTACTTCCTTGCCTGCAATTACTCGTTACGGAGTGCTAACGATTTCATATAGGGTATGACTAATTGTCTTCGGGTCTAACATTGAGTACGGTACTTTTCAATCACAAAGTTAGGGAAAAGTTACTCGAATTCCCGACCTTAATTGATTTGTAATATAATGCTATTAATGTACACTAGTCACACTTTCTCAGTAGAAACTAATTATTTCTATTTGAAGCTAGTCGCTTGTAAAGGTATGATTGTTGTTAGAAGAAAGCGTGAAAACTGTTCAACCTATTTGTTCGACAACTGGAGCTATTTAGTCTCATTTCGTTTCCAATTCTTTTTGCCCCACACATCATTTTCCTACGGTAGGATATCATGGAAAAAGTGTAAAGATAATTGGTTTATGATATAGTGCAGAAGAATGAAAGATAATGTGTTTTTATAATCTTTCGACCACTGTCCTAGACTTTCTAGATCAATATGCCTTACTGATGACTAACTGTCTGACTTCACGAAAACTTCTTGTAGTCCTAATATAAGTATATAAACATATTAGAAACGAAATTTGTACTGCTAATAGCATTGAATAACGGTAGTAGTAAATTGACTGGTCAAAATCTAACGATGTTAGGTTTTATCTACGCGGTCATGAATTAATAGTACTGAAAAGTTACAATCAAGGACGAAGTATCTGGTTAAGATTATTCAACCATGGGGACAATAAGCGATCTTCATGGGAAATGTTCCTGATAATTGTAATTGAGTAGACTTACTTGATAAAAATATTATTTGTACATAAATTTTATTTTTTAGAAGAATCGAAGTTTAGTGACAGACATTTTTCTGTTATTTTTGGATGTGGTACTTTGTCTAAAGAAGGAAGCATCCATAGAATAGTTCAATTTCCTATAAACCAAAGCAGATATAAGCAAATCAATGTTTCAAGGACAAGTGATGTAGAATTTATGGTTGAAAGTGCATAGTGTGAATAGTCATCAACTTCGTGTTTGGGTAATCCCTATTGCTTATTAAATTAAAAAAAATAATTTGCAGCGTAACCACTAGCTTAGATGATTCGAAACGTCGTGTGCTATGTTGAGATTTAAGGTGGTTAGAATTAAACAACAAGAAACGCTAGACCTAGGTTTCGTGGTAGCTAGAACTAATACGCTAGATAAGCACAGTATTGGTCGTTACTCTGTGATCTTACCTACACCTGGTTTGTTTTGTTCCACAGTAGACTGTTGCTGATAGTATGGGATCAACGGACATTGAGTATCTTGTGTAGACAATTGTTTCTAAATACTTGTTCGTTTTTGATGATGGTTATAGTAGCTCTCCGCGTTTCACCTCCGTACAGTAGAACTATCTGTAGCTCTTCTAGGGCCACTGTTGATCCCAAGCCCGGATGAATGAGGAGGGTTGGGTGTGGGGTCGGCAACCCCATCCCGTAGAAAACAACTTTGCTAAAAAACGCTAACCAGTTCACGATTAGATATATGCATAACTTGACATTACAGTTAAATTAGTCTAATTTTAGTTGATTGGCTGTAGTAACTCATAAGAACTTCAATGTCATTCATAAGTGAAGTAGTAATTTTAAAATTAAAACGATAAAGTAATACATTAAATATTAGTCGATATCTAGAATCTAAACTTATCTTTCAATATATTTAAACAGTTTAATAAAACGATATTTATACAAACAACTATTTTCAAACTCAAAATGAACAGGTAACATGATATTCCATTAGAGAAACAATGATATATTTGCAAGATCCCAATGAATGGAAAATTGAATTTTT